GAGAAACATGTTACTTTTTGGTGTTATTGGGGGCCATACCCAGTGTTGCTTGAAGGACCAGGGCCATGCCAGGTTCTTCTTAGTAGAGCCAGGTATGGCCCCTTCCTGTAGTAATCAGGGTCATACCTGGGATCAAACCTTCACACTCACAAGACAGGTGGGAGAATGGGAAAGTCAGGCTGGAAGGTAGAAAGGGAAACATTATAAAGCCAAAGTATGCAGATAGTGCAGTGGTAAGATTAGGAAACCTTTCTTGGGAAGGGTTTATAGATAAAATCTCAAAGGCAACCTCTGTTTAGCCTTTAGGACCCCTCCCATGAAGTCAGCTTTTTATCTAAGACATTTGGCGTTTGTTTAAGACTTTGCATCCTTATAGTGCTAGAGAAATCTCAGAGCGCTCCTGGGAAGATAATCTAATCTAGACAGTGCGGACCATCTTGTCTAAAGGCTAGAGAGTAGAGTGATTTTGTCTTGTTTGAGATGCTTGAAGTTCTTCATTGCAGCCGTAGCTCACAAAAAGAGATCAGAGATGGCCCATAGGAAATAAAAATTGAGGTTCCAAAGGGGCCTATAAAGCTTTCTTGTGGAGTTTTAATTTCTTTATTCTGGGAGTATTGAGTTGGCTGTGGGGAGGGATCAAAACTAGGACCTCACCCACACAAAGTACATGTTCTGCCACTGAGCTGCATGCCCGGCTCATTAAAGTTTTTCAGGAGAGAAACATGATCAATTTGGTGTCTAGAAAGATGACTTTGGAAAATGTTTGTGGGGATAGGGAGGGAAGGGGATGTGAAGCAGGCAAGACCAAGTAGGGAAATTATTATAATAGTTCAAGCTAGGTGGGTAGGATGTTGGCCTAAACAAGGGAAATGGCAGTGAGGACGGAAAATGAACTGGTTTGAGAATTATTTAAGAAGTCAAATCAAATAGACTCGGTCTTTGAGCACCAGGGGGAAAAGTCAAGGATGATGTCCAGATTTTAGTTTTAGTTGTGGATGTTTATAGTGAAGAGTGAACACAAAGGATCCTGCTTACACTGTTGGCCTTGCATTAGAATGTAAACAGTTTTCCTTGCTAATTGAACTTTTTTTGTAAATGATAACGCCTCATTGTGTCTAAACTGTGCGAGCTGGGGCCAGAATGATAATACAGTGGGTAGGGCATTTGCCTAGCACGCGGCCAATCTGGGTTCGATCCCTGGCATCCCATATAGTCCCCCAAGCACCACCAGGAGTAACCCCTGAACATTGCTGGGTGTGCCCCCCTAAAAAATAAAGTAAGCTGTCCAAGCTGTATGTTTTCTTTAAAAATTACTTTGATTTTGTAGGGGCCCCCTCCAGTGATGGTTTCGAGGCTGGTGGCCACTCACTAGGTGGTGAGAGCTTGATGACTCTGGTGCAGTCTGGTGGTGCTGGGGGCCATCAGGGCTACATCTGTGGTGCTTGAGGGGCCATGCTGTGCAGGGGATAGATGTCAGGCATGCAAGGCATTTGCTCCACCCCTTTGAGCTATCTCAGGGGCCCCAAACAATGTGGTTTATACTCCGTTTGAGAGTCTAGAATTTTGATGTGTGCTGGAATGTGCCTGTGTCATGAGCTCCCGGTAAAAAAAATAGGGCATTTAGGGGGACTGAGGATGTGGCTTACTGATAGAGCACTGGCTTTGCATGTGTGAGGCCCTGGGTTCAATACTTGGGCCCGCCCGCCCCCACCCCTGCCCACCTTGCCACCTGCACCCAAATATTGGGGCAGTTTTTAATCTCTCATGAGATTTCCTGTAGACTGTGTTTCACAGGTTGCAATTTACATATGTTTTGTGTCACTTCTCTGGGAGTGTAGTTACCTAAGCAGTACTCTGGGGCCTGTGAGAGCCATTTAGTGACTAATCTTGGGGGGACCTTGTAGTTCAAGAATCAAACCAAGAGGCTCCACATATCAGGCATGAACTTAGACCTTTGAACCTTTGAAATATCTTTCTTTTTATTTTATTCTTTAGCTTTTTGGGTCACACCTGGTGATGCACAGGGGTTACTCCTGGCTTTGTTACTGTTACTGTGTTTGGCATATCGAATACTCTCGGTAGCTTGCCGGGCTCTCCGAGAGGGGCAGAGGAATCGAACTCGGGTCGGCCATGTTGGCCGCTTGTAAGGCGAACGCCCTACCCGCTGTGCTATCGGCAGGCTTTATACTCAGGAATTACTCCTGGCGGTGCTCAGGGCACCATCGGGGATGCTGGAAATTGAACCCAGGTTGGCTGCGTGCAAGGCAAATGCCCTACCCGCTGTACTATCACTCCAGCCCCTGAACTATCATTCCAGCCCTGTGTATATCCTTTGTTGTAGTAGATCTCGGTCCCAAGTATATAGCTGTGTTTCAGTACTTGTGCCTTTGCAGTGACTCCCCAAATCTGGCAATTGTCATTCACCAAGAGAGGGAGCACAGGACTAAGCCCACATTTCACTAGGACAGTGAGGATTGGTGGATCTGTGTCTGGTTCTGAATTTGTCTCCCGTTGGATATATGTGATGTCTGGCACCCAGCAGACTTTAGAGTGGGGCTACAGATTTGGCCATCATCAGCTTTTGGTAGAGAAATGGGGAGTCGCTGGAGAGGAATCCTATTCGCATTTGAGCATTTGATCCCATTATTTGGGCAGTGCTCTGCAACAGATCTCCACAGAAGTTTCTGGGAAATACTTATGTAAGAACAAAGAGTTATTTAGCATTTCTTTGGCACAAGGCAAGTAGATAAAGACATACATTTATTTATTTTTGTTGGGCCACACCCAACTCCAGGTCTACTGGAACTGCACCTATAGATCAGACCTAGTCTGACTCAGGGGCCCTTACTTGGTACTCTCTCTCTCACCCAGGACTTTATTTTACCTGTATTTAGTAACAGAAAGGTTGTTCATAGTGATTTTAGCTAGAGCACTTTTTTTTTCCTGGAATGGGTGAGGCTTGAAATTCATTGCAAGGGATGATAAAGAATGGTTGATGAAGAATCATTGCATGGCAGTCCTTGGGAAAAAGAAGATGGAAAGCATCACCTTCCCCAACTTCAAACTGTACTACAAAGTGATAGAAATTAAAACAACATGGTTTTGGAATAAAGGCAGACCTTCAGAATGGAATAGAGTTGAACCTCCTGAGAAAGAATATCCTGATAAAGGAGCAAAACAAAGATCAGGGAACGCCTCTTCATAAGTAGTTCTGGGGAAACTGGTCAGCTACATTTAAAATCAAAGAAGTCAGAACTCTTTCTAACGCCATTTTCAAAGGTCAAATCAAAATGGATTAAAGACCTTGATATCAGACCTGAATCCATAAGGTACATAGAGGAAAACATAGGCAGAACTGTCCGTGACAGTTCCGAAGCCAGAGGCATCTCAAGGATGAAACACAGTTGACCTAGCGAGTGGGAGCAAAGATGGACAAGCGGGACTACATTGAATTAAGCAGCTTCTGCTTCTCAAAGAAAATGATGACCAGGATACAGAGACAGCCCACAAAATTGGAAAAATTATTTCCCAGACACTCATCTGATAAGGGTATAAGGGACTGGTAGAGCTTTACAAGAAATAAACATCCAACCCTATAAGAAAAATGGGGAGAAGAGATGAACATAAATTCCTCAGAGAAGAAACACAAATGGCCGAAAGGTATGTGAAAAAATGCTCTACATCACAAATCATTAGGGAAATCCAAATAAAGACAATTAAAATAACAATTAAAATTAAAAACAATTAAAATAAAAACAAATAAAAACAATCTCACACCACAGAGGCTGGCACACATCAAAAAGAACGAGAACAACCAGTGCTTGTATGGATGTGGAGAGAAAGGAACTCTCATTCACTGCTGGTGGGAATGCCGACTGGTCCATCCTTTAGGAAAATACTGGACATTCCTCAAAATACTGAGAATTGAGCTTCCATAAAACCCTGCAATATTACTTTTGAGAATACCTAGGGGTCAAAAAACACTATACAGAAGAGGCATCTGCACTCCTATGTTCATTGCAGCACTATTCTTAATAGCCAGAATCTGAGAACAGCTCAAGTGCTCAAGGACAGATGATGGATTAAGAAACTATGGAATATCTGCATAACAGAATATTATGCAGCCATTAGAAAAAATGAAGTCATGAAACTTGTTTATACATGAATAGACATGGAGAGTGTCGTGCTGGGTGAAATGAGTCAGATGGAGAGGGACAGGCATAAATGATCACATTCATTTGCAGGATATAAAAACCATAGTATGAGAATAATACCCGAAGACAGTAGCCTTGCAGGTGGCTAATCTGAACTGGATCTGTGGCACCTCTGTGCACCCCTGAGTTCTCCAGGATTGAAGGAGTTTTCCCTGAGTGCAAAAGCAGGAGGAAGCCTTGAGCACTGCGTGGCGTGGCCTAAAAAGCGAAAATCGAAAAGGATACTAAAATTTATAAAAATCAAGAATATGCAATTTAGAGGCTGGAGCAATAGCACAGCGGGTAGGGCGTTTGCCTTGCACGCGGCTGACCCGGGTTCGATTCCCAGCATCCCATATGGTCCCCTGAGCACTGCCAGCGGTAATTCCTGAGTGCAGAACCAGGAGTGACCCCTGTGCTTCGCTGGGTGTGATCCAAAAAGAAAAAAAATATGCAATTTAAAGAGACTGCAGAGGGCAGGGGAATAAGCAGTAGAGCACTTGCCTTATGAGGGGCCGGAGGCTCTGGGTTTCATTCTCGGTGCCAGATTTAAGATTAAAAAAAAAAAAAGACAGTCTGGACCAATCATCACAGTTTATAAATTCTGAGATGTGTTGGTTGAAATCCTGTGGGTGGACAAGGTCAACTGATGCCAGCCACTCAGAGTAGAAATACAATCTTAATTTCAGAGGCCCTTGGTTGCCACTCGAGTATTGAATATATGTAGTCAGGAGGTGAGAAACTTTCATAAGGATTCCAAATTTGAGATCTGTTTGATGAAGTGTCATTTTTGTTTTCTATCAACAGTGCCAGATTGGCTTCTCTGTTTGAATTGGATCAGGCAGCTGCTGGCCATGGAAATGAATTCTTCCAGTACACAGCCCCAAAGCAGCCGAAGAAAGGCCAGGGAAAGGCAGCCACAGGTAAGTTAAGAGGTTAGGATTCTCTGTTGACAGGTTTGATGGAAGGATAAATAGCCTTCCAGATCCTGATAGCATGCCAGGTTATTAATTCATCATGGGTCAGTCTGGCTGAGGTAATGGTGTAAGCCTCTAAGTCTAAGATACTAAATCTTAGTGGCCAGATAGCGTGCCCTTTGCTGGTATCTGAGGTTATAAGCAGTCTCCTCTTCAGTTCTGTATGAACTTAACTATTCTACGCACGTCTCTCAGAGTAGGCAAGTTTAGTGTTTAATGGGGAAGGCCCAGCTTTTCAACTGCTTTCACTTCCAGGAGTCAGCTATATGCTGACCATGAATTTTTCTCAGCTTGATAGCAGTACTCGCCCCCGTATCCATTATCCTTTTTAACATGATACTCATAGAAACCTTGAATAAATTTAGTGGAATACAATGAGAAAAATAGGAACTAATATTTATTTATTTATGTTTGGGGGGGACGCTACTATTTTTTTTTCTTCTTCTTATATTTATTTATTGAATCACTGTGGGAAAAGTTACAAAGCTTTCAGGTTTAAGTCTCGGTCATACAGTGATCAAACACCTTTCCCTTCACCAGTACTCATTTTTCACCACCAAGAAGCACAATATACCCCCCTCCCACCCCTCCCAATGCCTGTGAGGCAGATGATTTCTACTTTAATTCTTCTCTCCATTGATTACATTCATTATTTCGACAAATGATGCACTATTATTGTTTAGAATTTCCCCCCCAACAATCAGAATTCCTGAAAGGCATTGTGAAATACTTTGTCTTCTATAGCTGGTTTTGAGACTCATATAATGTCTTGTGGCCGCTATTGTGGCTGCGCGGATTTTGAATTGCTGCAAAGAGCCAGATAATTATGAGATTCGTTTCTCTGCATCTGGTGGTATGGCTGTGCCAGAGAGCCACTTGTGGGGCGCAACTCATGACCTCGGTAGGGCATGAAGGACGAGCCAGTACCGCCCCCCTTCCCATGCGACTGCAGTTGTCCTGTCAATGCGGGCTCATACCTGGCTTTCCAATAAGCTCTGAGTTAGCGGCCACCTTGTATGCGGTCCAGATGCATTTCTACCAAAAGCCGCTGGGTTTCGAGATTTGTTTCGGAGTCCCTGGGATCATGGCCATTAATCAGCTTGATCACGAGCCAGAGAGGCCGCCTATAGGCAGTGACTCGGGGTCTTGCTGGGATGGGGGCAAAGGGCCGGTTCCACCCCCATCTGGTGAGGCCCTGCATGTCTCGCCACTGCAGGCCCAAACCTGACTGTCCAGTGGCCTCTGGAGAATGGCGGTCACCAAGCCATCAAGGGGAAGAGGTCAAGGCACAAAACCTATTTCCACCTGGGTTGGCCCAGTGCCGGTAACCTACTGTAGGGACTCGATGCATTTCTGCCAATAGCCATTGGGTTTCGAGATTTGTTTCTGAGTCTCTGGGATTGTGGCCGTTAAACAGTTCGATCAGGAACCAGAGAGGCCATGCCTCCAGTTATATAGCTGAGCCGGAGGTGGTTGTGGGTGTGTCTCCCACATACCTAACTTTTGACCATTTGCTTTCTTGGTAAACTTTGCCCCAAGTTTTTGGGGTCTGGCCAAAGGCACAGCAGCAATTTTGGGGTATCTGAAAGTCTGACGGTGCCATCAGGCTGCTGATGCATTCGCCTCACAGGTACAGAAGGAACTAATATTTCTAAAACTAAAATTTCTAACGCATTTATTGAGCCACTATGGGGATGGCTCAGCAACTAAAGCATTACCTTCCAAATATGAGACTGATGAGTTTGTTCCCTGGGGCCACCCGCTTGCACCAACGGTGGGCTCAGTAGCTCTGATTTCTGGGACTCCTGGCACCAACCACAGTGGGTGATCTCCGCACAGCCAGGAGTGTGTAAGCGCCATAACTGAAATCGTGGCTTCCCGCCCACGAGTAGCACAATTAAAGAGAGGCGGGCCCAGTGGCAGAGATTCCAGTCCCTGGGATGAGCACCGCAACCAGAATGTGTGTGAGCACCACCAGAGCCGAGTGTGTGCAACCCCCATCATGACAATAGAGCAGGAGAGGGATTGGAAAGAGGACCACTGTGTGTTTGGGTCAAGTGCTTTATACAGGTCGTCTTCCTTCTCACATTGGTACTGCAAAAGTGGTATGACTGCCACCATTGCAGAACCTCAGATAAGCCAAGCGACATGTCAGGTTGAGACAGCAGTAATTGACCATGGACGTTTGAACTGATCTGATTGGCTGCAAAGCTTTTCTTCTCTCCAGGATGGTCTGTTCCCTCCATTTAAGAACCTGAAGAGTAATTGAGAGACAGTAGCAGCCTGAGTGGAGCGGGTGGGAGGGACAGTAGATATTTGTTGAATGAAAATAGATGTTATGTTATTGGGGGGGTGTGCCCACACCTAGTGGTATTCAGGGACTGTTTCCAGTTCTGTGCTTGGAGGTCACTCCCAGCAGTGCTTGGAGTTAATGTGGTGCTGGGGATTGAACCTGGGCCTCCTGCAACGCAAAGCCTACGCTCAGCCCTTTGGGGCCCCAAATTAAAGTATAAATTGCTTTAAATCAGTAGGGCCAGAGCAGTAGTACCAGTGAGAAGAGCACTTGCCTTGCACACGGCTGACCTGCATTAGATTGCTAGCATCACATATGGTCCCCCAAGAAGAATACTTCTACATTTTCAGGGCATATTTGTTCATCAATATTATGCTTCTTTTTTTTTTAGTTTTTTTTTTTGCTTTTGGGTCATACTCATTGGTGCTCAGGGCTTGCGTCAGCCTCTGTGCTCAGGAATTATTCCTGGTGGTACCATACAGGGTACCAGTGAATTGAGCCTGGGTTGAGCACACCGGCGCAGATGTATTCTTTTCTCCACTTCAGCATAGTTGATTTAAAGTGGCCGGGTTGCTGAACTTTTGGAGAAAATATTCTTAATTCCCATCCAGTGAAATCATTTTGCCTTTTAAAATCAGAAAAACAAAACTGTGATTTCATTGTACTTTCAAAGAGAAATTGAAGAGGATTTCAGCTTCAAAAAATTACCTTTATAGGACTGAGGAAGTGGTCCGAAGGGTTTGAGCGTATGCTTTGCATGTGGGAGATGTGTGTTCCATCCCTAGCATGATCCTCTAAGAAGCACAGGTTGCTCCCTCCAACCCCACCCCCTCCAACAACAAGAACAACAACAAAATTTGGATATTAAGAAAACTTTGTGGAGGGGTGGAATGATAGCAGTGAGTAAGGTAAAATCACCTTGCATGAATCTGACCTGGATTTGAATCCCAGAACTGTTTATGGTCCCCTGAGCACTGCCAGGAGTGATCCCTGGGCAACAGAAGTAGGAGTAAGCCCTGAATGCAGCCAGATGTGGCTCAAAACCAAAATAAATAAAGAAAGAAAAAGAAAAAAAAAAGAGCTTTGCTTAGAGACTCAAGACTATATAGTAAAAGATGTCCTTTTGAGAACCAGAGTTTGTAGCACTTCTCTTGTATGTGTAAGTCCATGGTTTTAATTCCCAGTGCTGAAAAATGAGAAAGAGGAAAATCCTTTATTTATTTATTTTGGCTTTTTGGGTCGCACCCTGCGGTGCACAGGGGTTACTCCTGGCTCTGCACTCAGGAATCACTCCTGGTGGTGCTCGGGGTAATCGTATGGGATGCTGGGAATCGAACCTGTGTTGGCCGTGTGCAAGGAAAACTCCCTACCCGCTGTGCTATCCCTCCAGCCCCAATCTTTTTTTTCCCCTTCCCCCTGAGCCCTGCCAGGACTGATCCCTGCATTCAGAGCCAGCAGAGAGAATGGGGGCAAAGACAACAGTCACGCAGTTTCTGGCTCCGTGGATGAATCTGAAGAGTTTCATGCTGAGTGTAGTCAGTGGGGGGACAGATGCACAGTGATCTCCATCGGATTTGGGATAGAAAGGAACATGGTAAAGAAACAAATACTCAGACACACAGAAAGTTGAGCAACAGAAAGTTGAGAACAGTCTTTAGTAGGAAGCTTATCACGATAGGGGGCAAGGGAGGGATTGACACTAGGGCATGTGGAGGGAAACTGACCTTGGTGGGGGAATGTGGTGTTAGAATTTATTTATTTATTTTGCATGAGTCTTTGCTAGTATCAGTATTATAAGTAATGGTACCTAAAATTATTTGGTTTTGCTTTGGGGCCACACTATGCCCACGATGCTCAGGAGTCGGTGCTTGGGGGGACCATACGGGCTGCCTGGAATCGAACCTTGTTCAGCCGTGTGCAAAGTTCCCGACTATCTAACTACTATAGCCACTATACTATCTCTCCGGCCCCTAAAATAATTTTTTTTAAGTGGAAGCAATAATGATTTCACAGAACGGCTGTGTGAATGCATCCATCACATAACTTGTTTTCCTGGCAGATTCATCCAGAACCTTTCATTTCCAGAGGCTCGGCTAAGGAGATTTAAAAAGGACACTGGGAGATTGAATTCTTCTCAAGGAGAGTGCGAGGCTGACGTAGGAAACAGCAGTCCTGCCCGGTCCTTCTGTTTTGTCCTGATAACCTTGTAGAGAAAATTGAAACCGCCCGGAGAAATGTCAGATGAGGCCAGGAAATGACTGGAATGGCTGAGCACATGCTTTGCTGCTGGAGGCCGGCTTCCATCCCCAGTCCTGCTGGGCAGGACCCTTCCACCCTCAACAAGGCACTGGGAGTAACCACTGAGTGCCGCAGGCTGTGGCCCAAACTGAAGAAAGGTCAGGGGGAGTCGAATCAAGGAAACTTGATGAATTGGTAGGAGAATATGTTATGTAGCCATTAATAAAGCACTTCTAGGTTTCTGGAAGAACATCAGGTAGTGCCTGTGTAAGTGGGAAAAGAAGGCTGTCAGATTCTATCAATTTTGTTTCAAAAAAGGGAAAAGCTATAAAGTTCGTGCATAAGAAAAAAGAAGGGGTCAAAGTGACAGTACAGGGGGCTGGAGCGATAGCACAGCGGGTCGGGCGTTTGCCTTGCACGCAGCCAACATGGCCAACCCAAGTTCGATTCCCAGCATCCCATATGGTCCCCTGAGCACCACCAGGAGCAATTCCTGAGTGCATGAGCCAGGAGGAACCCCTGAGCATCGCTGGGTGAGACCCAAAAAGCAAAAAAAAAAAATAAAAGTGACAGTACAGAAGTAGGGTGCTTGCCTTGAACGTAGTCAATCCAGGCTCAATCCCCAGCACCCCAAATGGTTCTCCATACCTGCCAGGAGTGATCCCTGAGTGCAGAGCCAGGAGTGAGACCTGAGCACTGTAGGGTGTGGCCCTACCCCCCAAAAATAAGAAAAATGAATTAGGAGTAAGTTGATAGTTATTTTTTGAGTAATGAGCTTGCAGTTTAATTTTCTTTATAGGTTTTGTTCTGTTTGCAAAGTTATCTGTAATGTATAGACTTGTAATTAGAAGAAATTTTTGGGAATTAAAAAATTGAGCAGAGTAGAATTTTTATTTCTGTTTTAGGATCTTACTCATAATGCTCAAGGGCCCCTCCTTTCAGTGCTCAGAGAGTACATGGTGCTGCAAATGTGGACCCCCTGCGTGTAATTTGAACACTGCCCAATTTAAAGATCTTACAAACTTCAGCGTTTTTAAAATTTTTTGTGTTCGGGGGTCACACCCTGTGGTGCTCAAGACTTACTCCTGGCTCTGCTCAGGGATCACTCCTGGCAGGGCTCAGAGACCACGGGGTGCTTACGTGGGCCATGCACAACGCAAGTGCCTTGCCAATTGTACTCTGTCTCCTCCCTGTTAGCAAGATACTTTTGAAAAGTAGTTCTTGATTGCTGTTCTTGCCAGGGTTTCTACAATTCTCTTATCAACACATTCATGTGCTTAGTATAAATATGTATGATTTACTCAAAACACTGTGTGTGTGTGTGTGTGTGTGTGTGTGTGTGTGTGTTTGGTTTATTTCTTTGGGGGTCACAGCTGTGCCCAAGGCTTTCTTCTGGCTGTGGATTCAGGGATTACTCCTGGTGGGGCTCTGGAAACCATATGGGATGCTGTGGAATTGAACCCAGGTGGGCTGTGTGCAAGGCGGGTACCCTACCCACTGTAGGTACTGGCCCTGTCAATACACTCTTTTTTTTTTTCTTTTCTTTTCTCGCAACGCCCAGTGGTGCTCCTGGCCTGGAGTGATAGTACAGAGGATAAGATACTTGCATTGCATGCAGCTGATGTGGGTTTGACCCCCAACATTGCATATGGTCCCCCAGGAGTAAGCCCTGAGCATAGTTGGGTGTGGCCCCCAAATACACACAACAAAAATAGAGCTTAGGCAGGGGTTTAGCATTTTAAATTTTATTTGTCAGAATTTTGGAGGGGTGAAAAGAAAGTGGACTCTGACCTCACTTTCTAGAGGCTGTCTCTTGTCCGCTCCTGGACAGGTCTGGAGTGGTTAGGGTTTTGGAATCTAGCCGTAGGCTTGCTGCTTGCTTGTGTAATGCATGGGGATGCTTAGAACCTTTGCATCCTCATGGCCAGCTAAGGTTAGGGAGCTGGTGAAGATAATGATTGTGAAAGCTTTGCTCTGCTAACTTACAGTGGAGAGAGGAATTTGTGAAGCTGGGGGTGGCGGGCCAGAGCAACAATGCAGCTTGTCAGGTGCTAGACTTGCACACTCTGGACCTGGGTTTGATCCCTCGCATCTCATACACCCAAGCCTGCCAGGAGTGACCCCTGAATGCAGAGCAAGCCCTGAGCACCATCACAGATGATCCCCACCCCACCCCTGTGTCAACTCAAGAAGGGGGCACGGCACACAGCGGGCGGTGGCTCTATCTCTCCCACCGCCCGCGTTCGGTAATCTCACCCTTCTTCCCCCGGGGAGGTCGAAGGCGATGGGCAGGCAAAGGAAGGAACGAGGGCCAGACTGGTTGGTCTTAGTCGCAGTTTATTCCAATCCTCTCTCCAAAGCAGTGTTATCCTACACACCCCCACCCCAAAGGAATTTTTTAAAAATCTGGTTTAATGGTCAAAAGCAGTTTCAAGCGAGAATCAGTGACAACTTTGCTTTCTTCTTCATCTTCAGGAAACCAGGGGACACCGAAAACGGCACCTTCCGGCACGGGCGCACCCGCCGTGTTGGTGGCAAAGGCGGTGCATGCGTATCGATAGTAAGTTACTGGAAGCAGCAAGCTCCGAAACTGGGTGGGCTGCGGGTAATTGCCTCTTTCGTCTCCCCTCACACCTCCTCTCTCGGAAGTGCTTGCACTCTCTAGAACTGCACGAAGGCAGGCCCCCGCTGGGAGAGCATAAAGAGCAGATATTGGAAGAGAAGTTGTGTGAAAGCCCTAAATTACACCCTGCCCGTTTGTGTGCCTTTCTAGAGGCCGGGCGGGTAGATCCCCCAGTTCTGTCCGGCAGAAGAGAAGGTTCTTCTCGTTGAGGAAATGTTGATACTTGTTTCCCTTGCTCCCGTAGCACAAACGGTCAGTATGTGAAGCAGGGCAAATTTGGTGCTGCCGTCCTGGGGAATCACGTGGCCAAAGAGGTGAGAGTAGCCCCAGTCTCAGTGTTTCAGTGTTTAACTCCTGCTGGTTTGCTCTGGGCTTACCTGGTGTTTGGTGTATCAGATCAGGCTGTGCTCACTTGAGGTGGGGGGGTTTAAAAATTAAGTATATGTTGACATTTATAGCTAGATTTGCCTCACTGTTGTGCATTTAGCCACTAAAATTTTTTGTTTGACTTTTGTGATATATGAACCTAATGTAAGAATTTGGGGCGGGGGGGGTCTCAGTAATCTATGACAAGCAATATTTCCATGATAATAAAAAAAATCTTCAAAAAGAAGTTGTGGTTAGAAGCCTTATGTGGGCTCTGTCTAGGTACAAATTCTGCTCCAGAAGATTTTTAACATTGTTGAAATATGCATAAGAAATTAAATAGACTGAAACTTAATTTTATTTTCTTCTTGGGTCACACCGAGAGATGTTCAGGGATTACTCCTGGCTCTGCACTCAGGAATTATTCCTGGCAGTGCTCGGGGGAGACCCTATAGGATGGCGGGGATTGAACCTGTGTTGGCTGCACGCAAGGCAAACTCTGTCCCTGCTGTACTGTCGCTCTGGCCCCATGAAACTTAGATTTTTTAAAAAAGAAAGAAAAATTAACTGGAGGGAGAGTACAGAAGGTAAGGCTCCTGCTTTGGATGTGCCCACTTTGGCCATGACTTGGTTCAGTCCTTGGCGTCATTTTTGTCTTCTGAGCGCTACCAAGAGTCATTCTTGAGCACAGAGCCAGGAAGAGCTCCTGAGTACCACTGGGCATGTTCTCCCCCACACATCAGGTTTTCGAGGGAAAAAGACTTGCTCAAATTTCAAGCCTGGGGAGATGGCTCAGGGGGCTGGAGCTCATCCTTTGCATCCAGGAGCTCTGGCACCGCCGGTCAGAGGTCCAGAGAGCTACGCTGAGCCACATATGTCAGTGTGTTTGATTGTTAGCAGTGAAGGGGGGAAAGTGCCTGAGGACATTGTGCCTGTGAAAGGAACACTCAGATGTGGCCTGCGTCTTCATGCATCATGTGATCCTTCTCTGAGCTACTTGCTCTAATCGAATTGGGCTGAGTGCTCGGCCTCTGCAAGCTTTTCCAGCACCAGATAAGGAAAGCTCTTTCCGGTGCGTGGGAGTGGATGGAGCTGGAGGGGTGGTGCAGGGCTGAAGGCTGGTCCTGCTTCCATCTCTGCACCACGTCATCCCCGAGCCCTGAGCACAAAGCCAGGAGTAACCTGATTACCTCTGGTGTGACCCCAAGACCCCCCAAAAAGAAAAGAAGAAACCCCTGTAGTCCCTCATATTCTTACCAATTTTTTAAATTTTGGGGGCCATGCCAAGCAGGGCTTGGGGGGGAGTATATGGTGCCAGGCATTGAACCTGGGGCTCCTTTGTGCAAAGCATGTGTTCAACCCTTGGAGCTCTCTAGCCCTCCCTCATCTTCAAGGGGTGCTTTGTTTTACATCTGTCACAACTGAGGGGCTATTCCTGGCTCTGCTCAGCGTCCGTATGTAGTTCTGGGGATCAAACCTGGATCGGTCACATATAGTTGCCTTAACCTGTGATTTTGATCATTTAATTTTATGTGTGGGAGGGGGTTGGGCTACACCCAGCCAAGCTCACTCAGGGCTACTCTTTGCACGCAGGGATAACTCTTAGCAGTGCTTGGGGACCGTATATAGTGCTGGGGATTGAACCCAGGTTGCAAGGCAAGTGCCTTACCCACTGTGCTAAAACTCTGGTTCTCTCTTTTTATTAATTACAGCTGTTCTAGTGAGTATAAAATGTTTTGGGGGTAGAGAGTGGTCCCAGCAGTGCTCAGGAGTTACACCCTGAGTAGCTCTATGTTCGGATGCTTGGGAGACCATGTGGTGCTGAGGATTGAATCCAGGATTCACACATGCAAAACCTATGCTCAGCCCATTGTATTATGTGGCCCTCATGAAGTGGATCTTACTGTAGTTTTGACTTAAGTTCTCCAAATCTTAATGATACTGAGCATCTTGTCATGTCACTATTGGCCACTATGTGTCTCTTAAGTTATAAAGTAAGGCTATAATGAGAAGAAATTAAAATGCATGCTGAAAATATTGCAAATAAAAATTCCAGGTGCCAGAGAGACAGTACCGTGGATAGGGCACTTGCTTTGCAAGAAGCTGACCTGGGTCAGCATCCCATATGGTCCCACAAGCCCGCCAGGAGTGAATCCCAAGTGCAAAGTCAGGAGTAGTCCCTGAGCACTGCCTGCTGTGGCCCCAAAGCAAAATAAAAATAAAAATGTTAAAGGATGCGCTGAGTTTTGATAGTGCTATTTTTGTTTTTGTGATTTTGGTCATTTATTTGCATCCATGTGAGATTTATATTCCTATCTAAGTCACATCCTGAACCTTTCCTCAGTTTTGAATTTCATCCCTGACATTTTATTGCTGGCTTTGTATTATTTCCTTTGAACTTACTTGCATTTCATTTTTTTCCAATTGTCTTTGCTTGAATACAGTATAAGATTCTTCTTTATATCAGTCAGCAACAGACAGTGACGGTTGCAAGGATTCATCTGAACTTTGATCTCTTGGTAAGACTTCCCATATTGAAATGGTTAGCTCCTTTGAGTGAGAGTTACAGGAGAGATTGACCTAAGCATTCCTGTAGGAATTAGATCCTTTGCTTCCTTGCAGTTCAGTGGGGTTAATGTAACAGACTCACAGTGGTCTCTGCTGCCTTCTGGGTAGGTGAGCTAAGAGGTAGGGTGGGAAAGATGAAGAGTTTCCTGATCTCTCACTTGGGGTCCTCCTGTCCTCCTGAGGCGAGGCCCTTATCTCAGGTTTGGGCTTTCAAGTCTTACCTACTTTGTTGCCAGTGGTTGAGTTCTCTCAACATTTCTTTCCCCAGGTTCGGCCCAATAACTATAGCACCTTTTATGATGACCAGAGACAGAATTGGTCCATCATGTTTGAGTCAGAAAAAGATGCCGTGGAATTCAATAAACAGGTAAAATCGTACCATTCTTCCCATAAAATATAAAACACATGTCTGGATTTCTCTTAACTTTAGGAAAATATGTGGAAAACCCATCAGCTGCTATTTTTTGTTAATGACAAATAAAAAAGCTCATTGAATACAAATTCACTTAAGTGAATTTGTCTATTGTATTTCAGGGAAATAATACCAGCACTGAAATTGCTTGAAATGAAACTTTAACAGAAAAAATACTATAAATTAATTTTTTGTTTGTTTGTGGGTCTCACCTGATGATGTTCAGGGCTTACTCCTGTCTCTGCATTCAGAGATCATTCCTGGTGGGGCTTGGGAGACCATATAGGATGCCAGGGATCGAATCTGGTCGGCCCTGTGCAAGGCAAATGCTCTATCGACTGTACTATCACTCTGGCCCAGTTTTTTCTTAAACAAGTTATTGTAACAGAAAAAAGGCATACTGTAAACTGCCATTTGTATTGAGGTACTGGGGTTTACAGTATTGTTCCTCATCCTTTCATGGACCCATCATTCCAACAGCACACCTGCCACCAGAGAACTTACTTCTCTCCACCAGTGTCCCAAAGACCCCACACCACCATAAATTACTTTTAAAAAAGCATTTTCTACTTCATACATTTATTTTAAGGAGTATTTTATAAATAGAATTTAAAATTATAAATACTATTTTTTATTATTATTGTTTTGGTTTGGGGCCTATTTCCAGTGGTACCCAGGGACTCTTCCTTACTCTCTGCTCAGGGGTCACTCCTGGCAGTCCCCTTGGGAAACCTGGATTAGTTTTAAGCAAGGCAAGCACCTTACCTATGTCTTCCTTTTCAGGTCCTATAAATAGTATTTTTTAAAAATTATGCAAAAATTTTTGGCCGAAAGTCTGATTTATTGCACTGAGGTATGGTGGTAAACTATAGAATTCTGTAAGTTAAAAAAAAATTAAATCTGTTATGTGATCCTTGTAGAGTATTAGAAATGCCTTTTGAATTAAAAAAATTTTTTTTGGGGGGGTAGTCATAGCTGATGGTGCTCAGGGCTTACTCCTGGCCCTGTGCTCAGAGATTACTCCTGGTGGGCTCGGGGGAACATATGGGATGCTGGGGATCAAACTTGGATTGTCTGCATGCAAGGCAAGTACCCTACCCTCTGTACTGTCTCTCTGGCCCCTGCTTTTTGAACTTTTTAGATATTCCTCTTTCTTTCATAGATGTCCAAGCTCTGAAACAGCACATTAGTATAGTCATAATAGCTTATTGTGTGCTTGCTACCTACCTAGTACTGTATAAAGAATATATTAGCTCAGTGTTTATAAGTACCTTAGGGGATCATGCAAAGTGTTTATTTCTGTCTTATAAAGATCTTCTGTGAGATAAGGTTCACAGAAGTTAAGTTGTTGGCGGAAGTCCCAAGTTAATCAATAGCAGTGCCTGGATTAGTCTCCAGACAGTTTGACTCCAGAGCCTCACTCTAGGCACTCTTGATTCCTGGCAAGACTGCTGACCTTGGCATGGTTGACTGCTAACTGTGTCACCTGTTATGTTGATGGATGCCACTGTTTGGAGAAGAGCATTGGCAGTAGTGAAATAAGTCCGTACCGAGTTTAACCAAGACCCCACTGCTTCCATCTTGTTGCGCAGGTGTGCATTGCCAGGTGTAACAGCGCCACTTCTTTGGATGCAGTGCTCTCGCAGGACCTCGTTGTCTGCGAGGGCCCTGCGGTAGAAACTGGAGATTCCTTGGAGGTGGCCTACACAGGCTGGCTCTTCCAGAATCACGCGCCGGGTCAGGTAAGAACATGGATGCTGGCTGCGAGTATTCTTTCGTGGTTTTATGGGCATAAGAGGGCTGTTCAGATGTAAGGTAGAGGGACTGAGTTTTTGTTGTGGAGTAGAAATTTCTTCTTAAGGAGCCTGCTTTAGTCACAGGCGGCTGCTTCTGGGGCATGTTTGTCAAATACTCTGAAATCAAATCTGCCTTATGCCAGATTTGGAGCCTATTTCCAGTGGTACCCAGGGACTCTTCCTCACTCTCTGCTCAGGGGTCACTCCTGGCAGTCCCCTTGGGGAACCTGGATTAGTTTCAAGCAAGGCAAGCACCTTACCTATGTCTTCCTTTTCAGGTCCTATAAATAGTATTTTTAAAAAATTATGCAAAAATTTTTGGCCGAAAGTCTGATTTATTGCACTGAGGTATGGTAGTAAACTATAGAATTCTGTAAGTTAAAAAAAAATGAACCTGTTACGTGATCCTTTTAGAGTACTTAGAAATGCCTTTTGAATTAAAAAACAAATTGTTTTTTTATTTTTTTTGGGGGGGGGGTAGTCATAGCTGATGGTGCTCAGAGCTTACTCATGGCCCTGTGCTCAGAGAAATTTCTAGGAAAAATGGAAACCAATACCCAATTTTTTTTTTTTTTTGCTTTTTGGGTCACGCCCAGCAATGCTCAAGGGTCACTCCTGGCTCTGCACTCAGGAATTACTCCTGGTGGTGCTTGGGGGACCATATGGGATGCCGGGGATCGAACCCAGGTTGGCTGCGTGCAAGGCAAACGTCCTACCTGAATATTCTTTTCAGTCATACACATGTATGTTTTGTCCTCCTATGCCATTTCTTTCTTGTTGTTTTGGGTCATACTGGAGGTGCTTATTCCTGGCTCTGCACTCAGGGATCAGTCCTGGTGGGCTTGAATATATGGGGTACTGGGGATTGAATCAGAGTCAGCCACATGCAAAACAAGCACCTTACCTGCTGCACTATCTCTCTGCCCCTTATGTAACTCCCTTTAGCCTTATGGTCCTATGTCTTTTCAAGTCTTTCTTTGTTTTTGGGCTTCACCTGGCATGCTCAGGAGTTATGCCTCTGCACTCATGAATTACTCCTGGTGGGGCTCGGTGGCCCTTAGGGGGTGCCTGGGATTGAATACAGGTTGGCCACGTGGAAGTGCATTTGCTGTCGCTCCAGCCCCAGGTCTTTTGAAACACAGCAAGCCAATTTTCCCATTAGACTTGGCGTTCCCTTTTCTAGATCCACCGTGATTGTATGTAGTAAATTCATAGCATAATTACTCCGATTCATTTAGAAACTGACTGACCTCATTCATTGACTTTGGTCAAATTGCAGGTTTTTGACTCTACTGCTAATAAAGATAAGCTGCTTCGCCTGAAATTGGGATCAGGAAAAGTCATCAAGGTAATTGCCTGTGTTCTTGGTGGGTATATCATTTGGTGCCACCTTTCTTGTGGGTGCAGAGCGGGTACACTCGTTGGTGCTTGGAGCTCAGAGGACATATGCTGGGGCTGCTCCCAGCTCATTTTGATCTTTGAGTTAGCACACCTAAATTTTGTGGAAGGCAGTTACAGCATAGCTGAAGGGGCATTGGGGTTAAAATCTGGAACTTGAGTTCATATTGTGAGTTTTTTTGTTTTTTGTTTTTAATGGTTTTGGGTTTGGAGCCATACCCAGTTATGCTCAGGGCATACTCGTGGCTCTGTGCTGAGTCTCCCAAGCATGATCAGGAGACTATATGGGGTGCTGGGGATCAAACCCAGGTTGGCCAAGTGAAAGGCAAGTGCCTTCCCCTCTATACTGGAGTCACTCTGCCCTGCTTTTGCTTCTCCTTTAAAGCTATTTATTCTTCTAATTTTTTTTCATCATCTAACATAAGTCTATTTCAGTCAACTCTGAATATGCTGGGGTTTTTTTTTTTTTTTTTTTGCTTTTTTTGGGTCACATCCGGCGATGCACAGGGGTTACTCCTGGCTCATACACTCAAGAATTACTCCTGGTGATGCTCAGGGGACCATATGGGATGCCGGGAATTGAACCCAGGTCAGCCGCATGCAAGGCAAACGCCCTACCCGCCTACCTGCTGTGCTATCGCTCCAGCCCCTGGGTTTTGTTTGTTGTTTTGTTTTCTCTTGTTTTTCATTTTGAATATGCGGTTTTTATTTTGTTTATTTATTTATTTATTTTGCCTTTTGGGTCACACCCATTGATGCACAGGGATTACTCCTGGTTCTCACTCAGAAATCACTCCTGGCAGTGCTCGGGGCACCCTATGGGATGCCAGAGATCAAACCAGGTCGGCTGCGTGCAAAGCAAATGCTCTGCCCGCTGTACTACCACTCCAGCCCCATGCTGTCTTTTTAAAAGCACTATTGAGGCCAGAAAGATAGTTAAAGGACTAGGGTGCATATTTTGCATGCTGAAGTACTAGGTTCAATCTCGGCATTTGTGAGTTCTTCGGCATCTTAGAAGTGACCCCCAAGCTCTTGACTTAACCAAGAGTAACCCCCAGATATTGCCGGTGTATGTAGCCACTAAATGAATTTCAATTTGTATATTCTAGATCATTTTAACGGTGGTGGAGCAAGGGAAGGGGGATAATTGAACTTGACCCCTCTCTAGTGACCCGGAAAGGATAGGTGATTGAAACCTGACCTGTGCTTCTTTCTATCTTGTGAGGAATCTATGTCTGATGAACTTTTCCCCCTTCTGTTTGCTGCAGGGCTGGGAGGATGGAATGCTGGGAATGAAAAAGGGAGAAAAGCGCTTACTTATTATCCCTCCATCCTGTGCTGTTGGTTCTGAAGGGGTAATTGGATGGATTCCATCAACAGACTCAATCCTGGTGTTTGAAGTGGAGATTAGGCGGGTGAGTGAAATTTTTTTTTTGTGTATATGTGTATGTCACACCCAGCGATGCAACAGGGGTTACTCCTGGCTCATGCGCTCAGGAAACACTCCTGGTGGTGCTCAGGATGACCATGGGTGACCACATGGGATGCTGGGGATCGAACCCAGGTCGGCCGCGTGCAAGGCAAACGCTCTACCCGCTATGCTATTGCTCCAGGGTGAGTGAAATTTGACAGTGTTATGCTCGGTGAGTCAGCCTTCAGATAATAAATAGCTCGGTTGTTTTCATGTTACTTTCGCTACGACAGAAAAATGATAGGCTTTTCTTGTGACTGTCCTAATTAGACAGTCTTTGCCAGACCATTCCAGTCCTCATACTTTTTCAAAACAGTTCCTTCCCGCCCCCACCCCACCTTCATGGCTGTCGTTGCAGTGACCAGGAATGGGACGCACACCTAGCTGTGGTGTGTTCAGTGTTTAGGTTTTGTTTTGTTATTGGGGCCACACGGGGCAATGCTCAGGGTTTACTCCTGGCTCTGTGTTTAAGGGTCACTCCCAAGGGAGGTGCTCAGGGCACTATATGTGTGGCAAGGATCGAACCCTGGCCAACCCCAAGCAAGGCAAGCACCCTACATTATGTGCTCGTTTTGTCCGGGTGGCTCACACATTTTTAACTTGGGCTTGCTGGGGCTCACGCCCTCCGCTGGGGTTTAAACTGCTTTAGGTGCCTTTTTGGCACATGCTAGCTGCGGCTTGCGCTAGTTGAGGTGCGGCTAATTAGGGTGGTGCTTGCCGGGGTTGGTGCAGGGCTTACGTGCTCACACACTTGCTTGCCAGAGGTTCTGCTTTCTGGCTGTGTGGCACTCACACAGTTTCTTAGTTAGGGCGCCCCCTGGGGTCATGTCCCTTTTGCAGTGCTCATACACACCTGGCTGTGGCACCACAGCCAGAAATCACCTGTGGCACCAGAGACAGCAGAGCTGCCAGGACGTTCCCGGCACACACGGGGCACCAGGCACCTGAACTCAAGACCTTATGCTTGCAAGGCTGTGCTGTGGGCCCCTGTGCCATCTTCCGGCTCCCAACCCTCTTTATCTGATGTGTTTTCAACTACCTTTGTCACAGATTTTCTATTTAACTTAAATTTGGGGGAGGGAAGCGGGAAGAGGGTGGGGATGGGTGAGGGGCACACAGTGCTGCTCAGCGCTTGTTCCTGGCACTGCACTCGATCACTCCTGACAGGGCTCGGGGACCATAAGTGGTGCTGGGGTTGAGCCAGATAGGCCTCCATCATCCCTGAGTGCTGAGCTATCTCCCCAGTCCCAAGACTGGCCTTTTATATGAAAAAAAAAAAAAATCAGTTTTTTTCTTTTCTCAAAAAAAAAAAACCAAAAACTCAAACCTAAGTCTTTAAAAAAAAATCCTTTTATGCAGCAGATTCCCTTGCTTGGGAACTCGTTCTGTGCAGAATTGTTCATATAACGTCGATTGTGATAGGGAAAGGGCTCGGAATGCCCAGCTTGGAACTGGGGGCGGTGCAGGGAGAGGAGCGCATGGGCAGGGGCGCGGCCTGCTCCACTGCGGCTGGTCTCTCCCTAGGTGAAGCTGGCTAGAGAGTCGGGCTCTGACGGGCACAGTGTCGGCTCCCGGGACTCAGCGGCCCCTTCTCCGGTGCCTGGTGCTGACTGCGCCTCTGCTGCGCCTGTGGCCTCACTGCCCACATCGTTGCCTTTCCAGCCAGGGTAAGAAACTGGGGCCGTCGCAAGTTCTACCCCCCTAAAAGCCCTTGGCATCACCACATGGCCTGTCATTTAGAAGCAAAATAATCAGAATGGGGAGAGCAGGACATGACAGAAATGGGGAACTGCTGACTGCAGCTCCTTTGAACATGGGGTTAGTATTCTCTGTTCAGAGCTCTAGCTCAGATGTTATGAACATTTGCCAAAGTGTGGAAGAGGGATGGAGTTCCGTGGGAACACCTGGCTTGCATGCATGAGACTGGCCCAAGTCCCTGTCTCCCCCCGAGAATCCAAACAGATACTAACTCTGGGAGAAATTGGGTAAAGGGCACATACACAAAATACGCACCCAAAGTCGAAACTGTAAGTACTGGAGCTGGAGAGATAGTACAGTGGGTGGGATGCTTACCTTGCACGCAGTGGACCTGGGTTCAGTCCCCGCCATCCCATATGGTCCCCCGAGCCCTGCCAGGAATGATCCCTGAGTGCAGGGCCACGAGTAACCCCTGAGCACTCCCAGGAGTGGCCCCCAAATGAAGACAAAATTAAAAACATTGAAAAACTGCAAATACTGAGTATTTGAATGGAAAGACATTGCTCTTCAGTAGTATCCGAGATCATGCACACTAAGAAGGGGTTCAGGTTTTTCTCTCACAGCGGTTAAATTGACAGGTGTTTCAGTCAACATAGTAAAGAGACTGTGGTTCTGGGTTCCATTTTTATGTCAGGCTGTGTCTTTGCTTGCTTTCAGGGATCCAGCTCTGCGAACCAAATCTAACTCCATGGGTGAACAGCTCTCAGCGCACACAGTGAGTATGTGAGTCCATCTCCCTCGCCCCAGGTTTGTGAGATTGGGTGTGTCACAGATGGATAGAGCTAAAATAAATGCTAAGAATGATTGAGGCTAGAAATCAGCGGTTGCTTTAATTTCCTCTTGCGTGGAACTTAGTGTAAAATGCAGCCTGGACTTTCACATAAACAGACGGGTTCAAGTCTATTCTTTTTTTGTTCTGGGGTTTGAACTAGGATTGTTGATGCATGAAACAAGCACCACAATTCCTCTACTATTTCTCTGACCCCTCAGGTGTATCTTTTGGGGTTGGAGGACCTTGGGCCATATCTGTCAGTATTCAAGGCTATTCCTGGCTCTGCTCAGGAGTGAGCTCCCATCACGCTGTGTGGTACAGGGGATTTGCCGGGTCAGTGGGAAGCAAGGCAAGCACTTTTACCTCTGATGTTATTTCTCCAGCCCACAAGTCTATTATTAAAAGCCTGTAACCTTGGGGGCTGGAGCCTTAGTGCAGTAGGTAGGGTGCTTGCCTTTTACATGGCTGACCCAGATTCAATTTCTTACATCCCATATGGTCCTCTAAGCACCTGGGGACCATAAATTCCTGAGTGCAGAGCCAGGAATAATCTCTGAGCACTGCCAGTTGTGGCCCACAAACAAACAAACAAAAAGCGTGTAACCTTAAGAAAGTTACTGATCTTTCACCTTCTTGGTTATTAAAATGGAAATTTTTCTCTCCACCCCTTCTTATTTTTACTACTGGGAATTGAACAACTGGGAGTTTATTTCTAGTATATAGAAAGCTTTCTCATTATATTGTGTATTGATGTGGTTTATGTAATGAGACCCCCCTTTTTTTTTCCTTCATTCATTAGGGAAAAATGAGCATATTCCCAGTCCTTCTGTACTTCTAGTACAGAAAGTACTTTCAATTCCCTTAAACAATGCAGCTTAAAAACAATTAGAAATGATTATGATCGTTTCATTCTATACCAAGCTGGTCATCCATTTAAACAAATTTAATGTAGCTTAAAAACAATAAGAAAATAAAGATTATGGTTTTTTTTCCTACCCCCCTACATAGCCTTCAAGGTATGTACTTTTGCTCTGAAGGCTGCATTTATTATTATATTTTTTGGGGGGGGCACACCCAACTTTGCTCAGGACTTACTCTTGGCTCTACACTTAGGAATTACTCCTGGCAATGCACCAGAGACCATATGGCCACATGCAAGGCTAATGCCCTATCCACTGTACTATCCACCCTTCTGAAGGCTGCATTTTGAACCAATGAATGAATTCAGAGGCTTTTAGCATAGGGCCTAGTGTATAGTCAAAGCTGTGTCAGTCAAGTTAACATAAATTTAGAAGAAAGAGCTGCTCTCTTCTGAATGTCTGTCCACTGAATTGCTTCTGGGCTTGTAAGAAGGTCTTGTCATCTAGGATGCCTCCCCCTTAACATACGGGATGATTTGCAATTATAAAGTGAGGATAATTATGCCTAAGGGAAGGACTAGATTAAATTAAATTACTCATATAAGACCATTGTATTTTTTCCAAACACAGAATTTTTTTTTCTCTTCCATGATTAATTGTGATACTGTATGGTTTTATTTAAAAAAAAAAATCTCTAGTTCTTGGGGCTGGAGCAATAGTACAGTATTTAGGGAGGGTGCTTGCCTTACATGAAGCCACCTGGGTTTAACCCTGCGTGGTCCCCTGACCCCTACCAGGAGTCATTCCAAAGCACAGAGCCAGGAATATACCCTGAGCACTTCTGGCTGTGGCGCAAAAACAAAAAGAATCTAATTCTCACCTTCTAGACTTGATTTCAGATAGGTAAAGCAAAGGACCCAGTTGAAGGACTTGACCTAAATGCCAAAGGGATAGAACAAAATAGTGAACGTTGGTTGCAGTGACTTCTTTTTTTTGACTTCTCTCTTTCAGAATCCTGATACAATCAAGGCCAAGTTGATCTCTCGGATGGCCAAAATGGGCCAGCCCATGTTGCCCATCCTCCCACCACAGTTGGAGTCCACTGAACCGGAGATCGAAGTATGTTCCTCTCGCTCTCTGAGGACTTGGCAGATGTTGCTATCTTTTCCCTCTCTCTTCCCCTCCGATGCCCTTCCCTCCCATCTCCCCTTTGCTCTCCATCCCTCCCCACTTTTGGTCGGCGCCTCCCCAGTGGTGCTCGGGGGCCATGTGGGCCGCTCTCGGCTCTGCCTAATGTGATCATTCCTGTGCTGTGGCTTGAGGATGCGGATCAGGCTCTGCGGTGATGGTGGACCACCAGCACCACACCTGTCATGCTCTGGAGACCTTTCGTTGTTGGGGATCAAACCTGGGTCAGGTGCATTCCCCAACCCCTCACTTTTGTTTCTTTTTTTTTTTTTTTAATTATTTTTGGGGTTTTGTTTTGTGGAGGTCACACCTGTTTATTTTGTTTTCTGTTTTTTTTTTTTTGAGGGGTGTCACACCCAGCGATGCTCAGGGGTTACTCCTGGCTCTGCACTCAGGAATTACTCCTGGTGGTGCTTGGGAGACCAGATGGGATGCCGGAGATTGAACTCTGGTCTGCTGCGTGCAAGGCAAACACCCTACCTGCTGTACTATCCCTCCAGCCCCTAGAGAGCACACCTGGCTGTGCTCAGGGATCACTCCTGGTGTGCGCAGGGAATTGTAGTGCCAGAGAGGGAACCTGGGCTGGCCACGTGTGAGGCAGGCACCTAACCCGCTGTGCTATTGCTCTGGCCCATGTTTCTTTAGAACATTTATTATTTTGGACTGGGAGATAGCTCAAAGACTAATGCCCTTTTATTGTTTTTGTTTTTGCTTTTTGGATCACACCCAGCAACGCTCTGCACTCAGGAATTACTCCTGGCGGTGTTTGGGGGACCATATGGGATGCTGGGAATCGAACCCGGGTCTGTCGCGTGCAAGGCAAACGCCCTACCCACTGCGCTATTGCTCCATCCCCTTTGTTTTTTTGTTTTCTGGGGCTACACTCGGCAGTGCTCAGGACTTACTCCTGGCTCTGAATTCAGGGATCATCCTTGGTGGTCTTAGGGGGCTGAAAAGGGGTTGTTGGGATTGAACCTGAATCTGCTGCCTGCAAAGCAATCACCCTATCTGCTAATCTATTTTCTCCAGCCCCTACTGTCCCTCTGTTGTTGGTTTTATTTTCCGGCAGTGCCTGGCTCTGCTCAGGGGTTATTTTTGGCTCACTGCTCAGGGTCAGTCCCCCCAGCAATGCTGGGGAGTGGGGAGGGGTTAAGGAAATCATGGAGTGCTGAGGCTTGAACCCAGGCCTCCCACATGGGGAGTGTGTGCACTAGCCCATGACCCTCTGAAAGATGATTTGGCAGGGGAATAGACTGGCTTATTCCCTGGTGTTCCTCGTAAACACACTATCCTAGATCAGACATAAGGTAGCTGCTGGCCTGGGAAACGGCGCATTCTTGAGCACCATCAGTGTAGCTGCTTCGGCCAAGAAAGCATCAGCTCGTGGTGGTCTGAAGAGCCTGTCTGTATTTTATTGTTTGAGAGGATTTATGAGAAGGGTTAGTGCTCTAGCACAGAGGGTCCCAAACTTATCTGGCCTGTGGCTCCCTTTTCAGAACAAACCACTGAGCACAACTGCACCCCAGGCTACTCCTGCAGGGGTCAGTGCTGCCCTCCAGGGGACACATTACTCTCAGAACTAAGAAAGAAAGGCCTGCTCCCCCAGGGCGCTCATGCTAAATGCCCAGCTTTTCCGCTTGCCACCCCTTTCCCTTCTCTCCGTGTCTCTGCCTGACAACACCTTAAGAAGGTTGAGTATGGACAGTCGGGTTCATTCTCCAGCACAGCACCCGCGTGCCTTGTAGCCAGCGGTGACTTTGGGTGTGTTTCAGGCTGTGACTATGCTGCGGGGCGCCGGGCAGCCTTTGGCGGCGCCATCCATCCAGCCTTCCCTCCAGCCAGTCCATCCCGTCCTACCGCAGATGACCTCACAAGGTAAGGCCGCTCTCTGACTCTTTGCGGCTTCAGAGTGGCTCAGCACCAGCCTGGTCACTGTTCCTGAAGTCATTAGGTCACGTGAGTTTGAGAGATGAGAGCTAGACCTGCATGGACCCCTCCCTCCAGAGTCTGTTCCTGGCCACATCTTCAGATGTAGCAAGTATATTTGGTTCGCATGTGGTATCTCTCACACACACGGGTCAGGTTGGGAGATCTGCATTCAGCTAGTGAGACATTGCCTCTTGCTTGGTTCTGTACCTCCTTCCTTCCTTGGGGTGGGGGGGGGCGGGGAGGGATGAGGCACACCTGTGTCTACCCTCAGTGACCTGCTGTGAGATTGTGGGATTGTGATAGAGCTGACTTTAGCAGAGTAGGTGATGAAGGTAAAGTCTGCAGCATGATGACACGGTGGGTAGAAGGTGCCGGTGTAGGCTGAGACTGGCGGCAAGTGGAGCCGGGCGGGTACCGGTGACAGTTTCTTCCTTTGTCTTAGCACCTCAGCCCTCTGTTGCTGGGCTCCAAGCACCTTCTGCTGCCTTAATGCCCGTTACATCTCTCGACTCCCAGCCCACTGTATCTGGAAATGCCCCGTCCTTTCAGGTAACAACATTTACAAACCCGGTCAATTACAAGCTGTAATTTATTATGGTTTGAGTCAGTAACTTTTTCTTACTTCACTGTAAGAATTGAAGATCCCCATGCCCAGTGGTACTCAAGGGCTGCTACCGGCTCAGTTCTTAGGGATGCATACGGTGCTGGGGAACTACCTGGGCATCCTCTTTGCAAAACACCTCAGCCTGTTGCGCTCTCTGGCCCCTAAATATTTTTTGATAGGACGGAGATATAGTCTAGGGGGTAGGTTGTTTGTCTTGCTCACGGCAGACTCAGGTTCTGTTCCCAGTACCACATGGTCTGCTGAGCCCACCAGGAGTGATCCCCAAGTGCAGAACCCGGCGTAAAACGTGAGCGCTGCTGGGGGTGGCCCCCAAACAAAACGAAATTTGGAGTATCAGTGAATACCTCTCCTGTTCTGACTCAGAGGAAACTAGATCGTTTGCTTATTCTTCGATGCCAGAGGTGATGAGTGGGACCAGTGTCAGGGGAATATGCTCCTGCTAAGGAAGTGTGCCCGGGGGGTGGGGTGGGATGGGAGGATGTCCTCTTCCCTCACCTCTGGGAAAATCTCAGGCACCAGGTACTGCTGAGCCTCTCGATAGCGCCCCTGCCCACTGCAGTCCTTCCCCAGCACCAGGAGGTGGAGGTTCGCTTCTCCTCTTAGACTTCCTTCCATCAAAGACAAATAGGAGCAGGAATGATGGGCGCGACTGTGCTAAGCCAGCTGTAACTCTGCGACGTCTCAGCCCTATGCAGGTGTGCCGGCCTACGCGTACCCACAGGCCTCGCCCGCCTCCTCGCAGCTGCAGCCCGTGCGGCCCCTGTACCCGGCGCCGCTCTCCCAGTCTCCGCATTACCAAGGTATGGCGCCAGCCCCTCGTCTTCACTCCCATTTTCATTCCAGTAGATCTCTACCCTCTTTTGCCTCTTTAAAAAGCAGCTTTCTTGAGATTCAGTTGACGTACCATGTAATCCACTTAGAAGCTTCTAGCTCCCTTTTTTTTTTTTAGTAACCTTACAGAGTGGCAACCCTCACCATGTTTCAATTTTAGTGTGTTTCCACCATTCCTCAAATTCTTTATTCCCGTGTTCTGTTTTGTTTCTCTCATTTTCCTTTTTAAAATTTTATTTATTTTTGGTTTGGGGGCCCCACCCAGGAGTGGACAGGGGCTGTTTGGGGGTCATTTCTGTAATGTTCTGGCAAGTGTATAATGACAGGAAATCCAGTCTGGGCCTACTGCATGCAGAGCTTGTGCTCAGGCTGGGAAGTGACCCTCTGATCCCTCTGACCCCTTTCTCGTTATCTCCTGCCCAGTTCCTGTGTTAGAATGTCTTGTGTTTATAGGAAAAAGTAAAAAAGTGAAAAACTTTCTTCCATGGAAACTGGAAGAAAGCCTAATGATTGTCAGAGTTCATTATCAAACCAGAACTACTTTATTACAATTTGTATTTTATCTTTATAATTTTGATTTTGAGGGTGGTGCTGAGAATCACACCCAGGACCTCATACACACAAGGCAAATGCCTGGCCTCTGAACCACATCCCTGGCTTAACCTTTTTTTTTTTCCCTTTCTTTTTGGGTCAGACTCAGCGATGCACAGGGGTTACTCCTGGCTCATGAACTCAGGAATCACTCCTGGCGGTTCTCAGGGAACCATATGGGATGCTGGGAATCGAACCCGGGTCGGCCATGTGCAGGACAAACATCCTACCCGCTGTGACTATCACTCCAGCCCCAGCCTTTTGGAATTACAAAAATGGCAAGTTCATTAGAAGGTCAAACAGTTCCAAAGGGAGGAAAAGGAAAAGCTGCTCGCCTTCCTATCATTAAAACCCCTGACCGTGGAAACTATCCGTTAACTCAGCTGTTCCGCACGCATGTACAGGCTAATGTGGTGGGCATGTATTAAAAAAACAAAATCAGATCAAATGTAGACAGCTGTGGTGGCATCTCTCTTTCTTTTTTCTTCTTAGTGAAGCAAGGCAGTTTTTATTGAAACTTACTCGAGGGGAGAAATGTGTGCTCGAGAGATAAGCAGGCGAGAAACGTGTTCCGGGAGAACCCGGGCTTGAAGCCCAAGCCCCCACTATCCCACTTTTCTGTGCTGCCACTTTCTTCTGTGTGGGCAGGGAAGGACCAAGCCTATAGCCCCACACACTCCCAGCATTGGCTCCACCACGCTTGTCTTTTGTGTACAATCCCCTCTGGGTGGTCAGTGGCAGGAGCGGTCCTGGATCTGCGAGGGTTCCTGCACTGCAGTTTCCGTCTGAAAACCTGGCTCCTTTCTCCTCCTCCTGGGGAGGCCTCAAATGCCGTCCCTTCCGTGACGCCTTCCCTGATTGTTCCCACACTCCCTCCAGCTCTCAGAGCTGTGTCTGATGTATGCGCCGCCGAAGAATTCCTCTTGGTTTTCCCTGTACCACTAGTGCCTTGTCCGTAGTTCAGTTTTGCACGGGAGAAACACTTTTGGTCTGTTTACCTGTCAGTGTCCCAACCAGAATGTTGGCACACCAAGGTTACACTGTGCTTTATTCATTGCTGTATTCCTGGCACCTGGTACAGTGCCCAGCTTACCGCTGGCTTAACTGGAGCGTACTGTGAGCAGCCATTGCCATGGCGAACTGACGCCGCCATGCTTGACCCCTGCACTAGACTGTAGCCTCGTTGCTCTTGTGGGAGCTTAGCTTAGCCCTTAGCTTTTGTGTGCTTCTGCCTTTTTCTCTCAATGCTCTTCTGACAGTGTGAGTTACCCGAAACATTTCCTGCTATTTTTTTTTTCTTGTTGGGTCACACCCAGCGATGCTCAGGGGTTACTCCTGGCTCCGCACTCAGGAATCACTCCTGGAGGTGCTTGGGGAACCATATTGGATGCTGGGAATCGAACCCGGGTTGGCCGTGTGCAAGCCAAATGCCCTACCTGCTATGCTATCGCTCCAGCCCCAACTTTCCTGCTATTTAGAAGCTATTTAGATTTCTTTTCTTTCCTCGGCTGAGATGTTGGCATCTCCTCATATGGTATCCTCTGTTCCTGTTTCTCTGAGTCTCTGATTTTATTCTGTGTAGGGTCAGGTGACATGGCTTCGTTTCTCATGACTGAAGCCCGGCAAAATAGCACTGAAATTAGAATGGCAGTGAGCAAAGTGGCCGATAAAGTGGATCATCTCATGACAAAGGTAAGAGTCATGGTTGGAGCTGTGAAAATGGGGGTATTCAAAATGGATCACAAATCAGGGAACAGCATTAATTAATCATTTCAGCTTGGTTTCCAGTATTCACAATGGTTGGTACTTACTTCCCTAGACTAAATATCATTATTTTAGGATCCAGTTACAGTAAACACTGGAGTACATTAAAGAATATAGAAACTTCATTAGTTTCCCCCAAAAGGTCGTCAGACCTTAGGTAAATTCTTTTTTTTTCACTTCAGAATTTCTTACAAGGTTCTTCTGGTTTCCCTTTTGTAGGTTGAAGAGTTGCAGAAACATAGTGCTGGCAATTCTCTGCTCATTCCTAGCATGTCAGTTACTATGGAAACAAGCATGATTATGAGCAACATTCAGCGAATCATTCAGGTGAGGTGATTGAGAACGGAACACTCTTTTTTTTTTTTATTCTTTTTGGGTCACACCCGGCGATGCACAGGGGCTACTCCTGGCTCTGCACTAAGGAATTATTACTCCTGGCAGTGCTTGGGAGACCATATGGGATGCTGGGAATCGAACCTGGGTCAGCCACGTGCAAGGCAAACACCTTACCCACTGTGCTATTGCTCCAGCCCCAAGGAACACTCATTCTCGAGGTCTTGCTCTCCCCCAAACATACCACCTTTTGAAACTACCATAGCACTTTTTAAAAAATTATACATTTTGAGGGCCAAGTGATAGTACAACAGGTAGGGCATTGGCTCTGCATGCAGTTAACCTGGTTTCGATCCCTGGCACCCCATATGAAACATAGCCAAGTGTGGCCCAAAACAAATGAACAATCATAATGTATATTTAGGGGGGATGGGGAGGGCATCATGGGGGATGATCAGGGGGACCATGTCCCTTCACAGTGATACTCAACAGAATGGCTCAATGTTTGAGCCCAGCATGCAGTGCAGCTCAGGCCTAGCAGGGCTTGGGGGTCTTCAGGGCTATACCCAGAAGTGTCTGGGAGACCATTCATCAGGAATCATGCTCATGTCCTGGTGCATGCAAGACCTGTTGTCTCCTTTGCTCATAAAGTGATTTTTTCAAAGGAAATAGAACAAAAACATACTTTATCATATGGAACCACAAAAGACCCTGAAACTTAACAATTTTGGAAAAAGAGGAAAAAAGGGAAGCATGATGGTATCTTTCTCACTGTATTAGAAAGAAAGTGACAGTCACCGAAACAGGGTAGTATTGAATTAAAAATAGACACATGAATCAATGGGATAGGATTTAGAATCCATAAATGAAACTGCACACATGTTAACATTTAACCTACGGTAGTGTAGCCATGACCATAACTAGAGAAAGGATCATCTCTTCAGGGCTGGAATGATAGTACAGTGGGTAGGGCATTTGTCTTGCATGCGACTGACCCCGAGTTTGATCCCCGGCATCCCATATGGTCCCCCAAGCACCTCCAGGAGTAATTCCTGGGTACAGGAATAACCCCTGAGCATTATTGGTGTGACCCAAAAAGCAAAAAAAGAAAAAGAAAATCTCTTCAACAACAAATGATGTTGAGAGATCTGGACACCCATATGAAAAGAATGAACCTGGATCACTCTTAACTACTTATACAAAAGATTAAGATGGGGCTGGAGGTATGTGGCTGAAGTGGTTATGCTCCTTGCTTGTGGGGGTCCTGAGTCTGATCTCAGGTATAGTCTGCCCCACTCCCCTCCAAGCACCTTCAAATGTGGCCCTTAAAAAAAAAATTAACATTGTTCAGATAGATGACTCAGTGGGCTGAAATGCATGGTTTGTTCTCAGGAAGCCTGAGTTTACAATCTAGTACCAGACAGTCCTCCCAAACACTGCCAAGAGTCACCCCTGAGCACTGAGTTAGGAGTAAACTGCTGAGCTCTGCTGAGTGTCACCCAGACTGACTTCCCCACTCCCATCCCCCTCCACACACATACAAATTGTGATTTGCAGCAAAAGGAAGAAACTCAAGAGGATTGTATAAAGAGAAAAAAAAGTCATAAGGAAATTGTCAAACACTGGATGATTTTACCGTATATTCAGTATGTTATGAAACATAGCAAATAATAAACCAACGATAATAACAACACTAAGTTTACCAGAATAGAAGGGGCTGGGGGCAGTGAGAGGAAGTGCGAAATGGGTTTAATGAGTGGTAATGTGTGTTTAAGGAAAGGGGATCAAGGGGAAAATGACCTTAAAATTGTACTGTAGAAATAGGGACCATGCATGTGATAAGTACTTTACCACGTTGGGAAATTCTGAAAAACCCAATATTACTTAATCTGGTGTGAACCACGTATCACAGAGCTAGAGAAATGGTAAAGTGGTTCTAGAACTCACATTGCGTGTGGCTGAGCCCAGTTCCATTTCTGACTCTGTAGATGGCCCTCAGGGTCTGCCAGAAGTGATATCTGAGCACAGAACCAGGAGCCACCCCTAACATGGCTGGAGAAGGCCCTAACCCCCCCCCCCCAAAAAAAATGCCATTTACCACTTTATATCCAGAAGAAAATATTTATTGTTGACCTTTGAGAATTAGCTTTCTTTATATTTTATCCAGTTATATATATATATATATATATATATATATAAACAACCTTACATTGGGCATGACCAGATGTGCCTCCAAACAAAATTATATGTTTCTCCCAGGTATAATTTGATGTGGTGTCGTAAGAATTGTATCCATGTGGCATGCATTTAGATTTTTGTCTCAAAATGTACATGGATAGGGTGTGATAGCACACTGGAGTGACAGCACAGCGGGTAGGGCGTTTGCCTTGCACGTGGCCGACCCAGGTTCGATTCCCAGCATCCCATATGGTCCCCTGAGCACCACCAGGGGTAATTCCTGAGTGCAGAGCCAGGAGTAAACCCTGTGCATCGCCGGGTGTGACCCAAAAAGCCCCCCCCCCAAAAAAAAAAAGCACATGGATAGTATACATTATTAGGTGCTACAATAATAAAGCACCTTTCAACTCAAGTTGCTTCTATTTTATCTGACACTTCTCTCTTTAAAAGTTTAGCTGTGTGTTATATTTGAATTTAGGAAAATGAAAGATTGAAGCAGGAGATCCTTGACAAGAGTAGTCGAATAGAAGAACAGAATGACAAAATCAGTGAACTCATTGAACGAAATCAGAGGTAATGACAGGTACGGGGTGGCATTAACTTGCATGGACAAGAGGGTTAAGTTTGTAAATAGATGTACTTATTTTGGGGTTATTTATATGTCTTTTTTTTTGGCTATTTGGCTTTTTGGGTCACACCTGGCGATACACGGGGGTTACTCCTGGCTCTGCACTCAGGAATTACCCCTGGCGGTGCTCAAGGGTCCATATGGGATGCTGGGAATCGAACCCGGGTCGACCCGGGTCGGCAGCGTGTAAGGCAAACCCGCTGTGCTATTACTCCAGCCCCTATATGTCTTTTTGTTGTTTCTGTTTCCTCTCTGTCTTATAAATGGTTGCTTATGTTCTGAAAAGGCATTTTGGTCTCAGGCACTCCATGCAGTGTGATGTAAGGCAGATGTGCATTTGAATCTCACCTCTGCCCTTCTTGTGGGAGGGGAGTAAGGAACTCCCAGGCCATGCTTGGGTGGACTCAGGGACCATTCCCAGAGGTTGGTGTTGGGGCCCGAGAGTGTGGTGCTGCTCAGGCCCTGCAGGGTGGACACCTCGAGGCCTACTGGGGTGGTTCCTGCAGGCCTCTGGGTCATGCTTGGTGGCGCCATGTTGGTGTTGGGGATTGAACCCAGGCGGACGCTCTACTCCTGAACTAGTTCCCTGGCCCTCATGGCCCTCTGCCCTTATTTTGCTGTGTAGGTTTGGACATTTTACGGACTCCTGCTATCCCTAGCTTCCTCACTGCCAACATTGATACTTTCCCCCTCTGCTGTGTGAATGGGCTCTTTTGTTATCCAGGATTTCACACCTACTTCCATCTCAAGACCCAGACATTGGGGCTGGAGTGATAGCGTAGCAGGGAGGGTTTTTGCCGTGCATGCCCCCAACCCGGGTTCGATTCCCAGCATCCCATATGATCCTTGAGCATGGCTAGGAGTAATTCCTGAGTGCAGAGTCAGGAGTAGCCCCTGTGCATTGCTGGATGTGACCCAAAAAGAAAAAAAAAAAGAGTTTAAATAGCTCTTCACAGAAGAATATAATTTGGGAGCCAGAGTGATAGTTCGGCGGGTAGGGTGTTTGCCTTGTACCTGGTCAACCCGGGTTCGATCCCTGGCATCCCATATGGTCCCCTAAGCACTGCCAGGAGTTAATTCCTGAGTGCAGAGCCAGGAAGAACACTTGAGCATCGCTGGGTATGACCCCAAAAGCCAATAAGTAAATAAAAGTAAAGGGAAAAAAAATGACCTAGACCTAGACAGGAAAATCTATCATGGCAGATAGGATTTCACTGAGGGAAATTGCTCGGGGCTCTCATACACAAGGTAAGGCACTTGCCTCACATGCTCTAGTTTAATCTGGTTTAATCCCTGGCTCTAGTTTAATCCCTGTCACCACAGGTGATTCCTCAAGCAATGCCAGGGGCTCCTCCCGAGCTTGGAGCCAGGACTAGACCCTGAGCGTATGTGACCAGATGCGCCTCCAGACAAACGAAGTGAATTGTGATCTAGGGCCCCTGCGATGGCTCCATGGGGTGTAGGGCATGTGTTCCATGCAGGAGCTTCAGGTATTACCTCCCATACTGCATGGACGGCCCCGACGCTCCCTGGGGAGTGACCACAGCAATGAGGTAGCGGTTGCCTCTGAGTACTTCCAGATCGATAGTCTTGAGTTCCTGTCCCCATCATTAAGCAAATTCAAAGCAGCCCAACCCGGGATCTTGCTCCTCTCTTTGATTACTTCGGAACTGAGGAGAGCACAAGGCTTCCGGAAAGGCTGTCTTTCTTGTGGTTGCAGCGTGGGCTGGGAAGCACACAGTACCTGGGTTTCCAATGAGCTGCGCTCCAAGGAGGGAGGAGGGCAAGGAGGGCCCCTGTGCTGCTTTGGAGCTGGTATTCCTTTGGTGCGTGGTAAGTGTTTCCCTTTTATTTTGCAGATATGTTGAGCAGAGTAACCTGTTGATGGAGAAGAGGAATAGCTCCCTTCAAACAGCCACAGAAAACACACAGGCAAGAATATTGCATGCTGAACAAGAGAAGGTAAAATAGCTGAGAGAGAAGCCCAGGTTAAGGATTGGGAGCATTCCTCTGGACAGACTTACCCGTCCCGTCTACTTCCTAATGGTCTCTATACCATCTTCCTGCCACCCCTCAAATGTGGTTACTTTTAAAAAGAAAGAAGGTGTGTGTGTGTGTGTGTGTGTGTGTGTATCTTGATCACTTGATCACACTTGATCACTTGACATCCCATTACTCATCGATTTGCTCAAGCGGGTGCCAGTAACGTCTCCATTCATCCCTGTCGTGTGCTAGTATCTGCTAGTGCCCAATGGTATCTGCTCACTCCAGGAACACGAAGAGCCTCAAACTGATCATTCAGGGTCTTGACGAAGAAGTCTGACCATCTTGTAGGTAGGCAGCCATGCGATCTTTTGACGTCCCATGGAATCCTGTTGGTAATGACTCTAGTCCAGCGGTCGTCTCCAAATCTCATTATGTGTCCAGCCCATCTGATTTTCAGTGCCTCAGCAAACAAGACAGCATCCCTGATTCTTGATCGTCAACGAGGTCGAACTCCAGATTCTTTCTCTCACTTGAGTGAAGCGTGATACTCCAAGCATAGCTCTTTCGATTCCTCTTTGGGAGACGTGAATAGCGTTCTCATGCTGTTTTCGTAGGGCCCAGGTGTCTGAGGTGTATGTTAATGCAGGAAGAACAGTGGAATCGAAGAGATGTGCTCGGAGCTGGAGGTTCTTCGTCCTCTTAGCTATTTCTTTGACGTTCTTGAAGGCATTCCAAGCCACTCTTTTCCTCCTGCGTAACTCAGGTGCCAGGTCATTCGTCATGTTGACTTCTCGACCTAGGTACACATAACTGTTGCATTTGGAGATGTTCGTTCCATTCAGAGTGAATGGAACGTCAGGAACGAGACTGTTTCTCATAAACATTATCTTCGTGAGATTCAGCTGTAGTCTGACCTTTCCTTACTCACAGTCAAAGTCGGCCAGAGTTTGTGCCGCTTGGCTAATGTTTGGTGTTATTAGAACGATGTCATCAGCGAAGCAGAGGTGGTGTAGTGGCCGACCATCTATCTTCACTCCCATTCCTTCCCATTCCAGTCATTGCAATACGTTCTCGAGGGTGGCACTGAAGAGTTTCGGTGAAATGGTATCACCCTGCCAAACCCCTCTCTTGACATCAACGATCACTTGATCACTTCTTTGTAGAATGGTGAGATCCTGGTAGTGAATCCGTAATACAGTTCACGGAGGATCCTGATGTACTGTACCCTCTTTGGCTAGGGCTTCCATGAGTGCTTCCGTCTCAATAGAATCAAATGCCTTCTTTAAATCAATGAACGTTAGACAGAGTGGCATCTTGAACTCCCAAGGAACCTCAGTGAGCTTGATTATCGTGTGGATATGGTCGATTGTGCTGAATCCTTTTCGGAACCCAGCTTGCTTGCATGGTTGTCCTTCATCTAGTGTTCTGCTAATCCTATTCAGGATGACTCGAGTGAACAGCTTGTAGACGACAGTTGTTGTCTGTAGTTATAGAGAGTTCATGTTTTGCCACCTATGAAGAGAAGTATTGGTGGTTATGTAGCACTAGCACTAGCCTCCTGTTGTTCATCGATTTGCTCGAGCGGGCCCAGTAACATCTCCAATGTGACCATTGTTACTGTGTTTGGCATATCGAGTACATCACGGGGAGCTTGCCAGGCTTTGCCGTGTGGACGAGACACTCTCAGTATCTTGCCAGGCTCTCCAAGAGGGGCAGAGGAATAGAACTCGGGTTGGCCAGGTCAGCCGCGTGCAAGGCAAACGCCCTACCCGCTGTGCTATCACCACTGAATGGACATCCGTGTGGAGCAAGGAAGGGAAAATAAGGGAAAGGGCAAGGCCAAATTTCTCATTGTTTACTTTTTTATAGCTTTAATTTTTGAGTTACCAAAACATTGTCTTCTCAAGAAAAATTTCATGTTATAAAAGTATATATAAACTGACAAACAAAAAGAAAAATATAAGGCACCCAGCACTCTTCTGTCTATATTACTAAGAATCAAAACATTCAGACTCTCTTCTTCACATAAATGTTACCAAAATAAAATCACGTCAAATGTATTTGAAGATCTACTTGCATTTATTTAGCAATGTTCAATGTCCCGTGTCACTGTATTCTAACCGGGTATTTTTTATATTATTATTTTTTTGTTTGTGTTTTGTTTTTGGACCACACCCAGCTGTGCTCAGAGTTTACTCCTGGCTTTGCGCTCAGCGGTCACTCCTGGCAGGCTCAGGGCACCATCTGGGGTGCTAGGGATTGAACCTGGGTCCGGCTCATGCTCGGAAAGTACCTTACCTGCTGTACCATCGCTGGCCCCTTGTAGTACTTTTCTATTAGAAACATACAGGATAAACCTATTATGATTTGCTTGATCACACCCAGTTTTTATGATGAACAATGCTGGCTCGAACGTCCTCGTAGCAACATGAAACCCCATGTAATGTTTCCTAGGGACAAATTTCTTCAAGGGAATTCCTGAGTCAGTGATCACACATTTTGAAGACTTTGATTTTTGATTTTTGGCGGGGAATTGGGGTTTGGACCATATCTGGTGGCACTCAAGACTTCTTACTCCTGGCTCTGTCCTCAGAGGTCACTCCTGGCCATGCTGGGGACACCATGTGTGGTGCTGCACATCTCTCTAGGGCCAGCACAGGCAAGGCGAGCCCCTTGCTGATTTGGATTTAATCAAGGTTGGAGATAGCCTTAGCTCCTTTGCACCGGTTTATTTAGCCTGTGTGTGAGGTTGGTTGATCACTTTGATGTCACCTCCTTTAAAGTTTGTTTTCTTTTTTTCCTTTGTTTCTCTTTAGGCCAAGGTGACAGAAGAGTTAGCTGCAGCCACTGCACAGGTATCTCACTTGCAGCTGAAGGTGACAGCGCACCAGAAGAAAGAGACCGAGCTGCAGGTGCAGCTGAGCGACAGCTCCAAGGAGATGGACCTCCTCAGGACCCAGCTGGCCAGGCTGCAGGCCGAGCGCTCAGGCAGGTCCTGGGGAAGGGGGCGGGGACTTGGCCTGGAAACTTGAGGAATTAGCGTGTGTTTTTTCTAATCCTCTTGACATAATCCTCATGACATTTGTGTTGGACCAAACAAAAAATGAAGGCCCAGGTTTCTGCATGATTCCATAGCAGACAAGCAGAGCACTGAGTCTTCCTCCGTCTCCAATTCTGGTTCGTGGCCACACTTCTGCTCTGCTTGGGCGACCATTGGCTTCAGCAGCTTTGGCATTTAGTGATTCGCCCCCGGGCCTGAAAAAACTTGTGTGTTCCCTAGTCTTGAGCACAACGGGAGTTTACAAAGCTGGTTCTGGGGCTGGAGAGGTGGTCCAGCCGGTAGGGCTCATGCCTTGCACACAGGCAGCCTGGGTTCATTCCTGGTACCCCAGAGAGTCCCCCAAGCCAGCCAGGAGTGATCCCTGAGGACAGAGCCAGGATGGGTGTGGACCTCGAACCAAACCAAACATTACAGAAGCAGCAGCAGGTACTTTCCTACCGGCTAGGTTGCAACTCTGAACCCTGAGAGTCCAGGCCCCCTGCCTGGCTTATTTCTGTTCCATTGCCCAATTCACCCAGGATACCAGCCAGCTTGTTGATTGCCTCAGCACATCCCATACTTCCTGATTTCCTTTTTTTGTCTATGCTGTTCTTTGGACCTGGTGTGTTTACCATCTGGCATTTGCCTCTGTTCTCTCTAAAACCTGATATTTTCTTTTTTTTAAGGGACTTTCCTGATTTCTTACATAGCATTTTTTGGCATGGGTGCATTGTCACAGTTAGCCTTTGACCAGTGCCAGTGGCAGGGCTTATGTCTCCCCCCATAGAATGCAGGGGGGCCGAGTCCGTGTCTTGCTCCCCTTTGTGAAGGTCTTTCCTCAGTGCTGGGCACAAACCGCAGTGCTCAAGTCAGGACACTCGAATAGAAGGTTCTTGAATTCAGGCTCTGGATTCATCCATGCAGTTTATAGACACCTGTGGAGGAAACAGGTGGGACCAGAGAGCAGGTGCAGCTAAAGCAGCGGCAAGGTTGGGAGGAAGCGGAGTTTCCTCACTCGTGGGGGAAACTGAATATCACTAATGTCTGCTCATAAATGATGCCTTGAAATTCAGTGCCTTTCCCTTTCCAGCGGGTATGGGGAACCTCTGGCCCGTGGGCTATAGAAGGCCCACAGAGTCCCTTGGGTCTCCTGGCCTGGTATGTGACAGGACCAACATGTGCTTCTCATGGCTGCCTGCAGCCTGCCTGCCTGTTTCAAACAGCCAGCGAGTGATGGAGATGCCCAAATAGCCTTGACAGGAAGTAGGTTCCTGACCCTGGTGGGAGATCATCCGGGGCCAGGAACTGATCAGGGGAGTTTAGTGTCATACATATCCCCCCCTTTCTGTTTCCAGGCTTCCCTGTAACAGTTCTCTCAAGAGCACCACACAAGTCTCTCAAGTTCTCCAAATAAATTTCAGGCCGACAGTGTAGCTTAGTGGTAGAGAACATGTTTTTGTTTTGTTTTTGTTTTGGGGCCATACCTGGCAATGCTCAGGGTTCCTCCTGGCATCTGAACACCTGTTTTGCATGTCTGAGGTTGTGAGTTCAAGACCCTGGAACTCTTTTATTTTTTTTTTCTTTTTCCATGTATTACACTAAAAAAATATTTCAGGAACCAGAGAGGTAGTACCAGGGGTAAAGCCTTGGTTGCTTGCTTCGGGTTCAATCCCTGGTACCACGTATGGTCCCCAAGCACCGTCAGGAATGACCCAGCTCAGCTCGATGTGATCCAGACTCCCCTCTTGTTTTGCTTTTTTTTGGGGGGCGGGGGAGGTCACACCCAGCAATGCACGGGGTTTACTCCTGGCTCTGCAATCAGGAATTATTCCTGGCGGTGCTCAGGGGACCACATGGGATGCTGGGAATCGAACCCGGGTCAGTTGCGTGCAAGGCAAATGCTCTACACGCTGTGCTATCACTCTAGCCCCAGACTCCCCTCTTAAAAAAATTTTTTTTTTCAGATAGGTTTATTTGAGAACAGCTGTTAGAAGCAAATGCTGCAAAATGTCCCAACTCCCAGGAAAGTCGAGACCATCTCACCTGGGTTCTATGAAAGAGCCTGGAACAAGATTAGAGACGGGTCTGGTTAGGGCTTTGTGAGGGTGAGATACTGTCAGGGGGTGAGGAGATGGAGGAGGAGAGGAAGGCGGTCAGGGCAAGATGGGGAGGGGGCGGCAGGAAACAGCGGGAAGGAGCTCTGGGCTGCTTAGAGTCCGGCCTGGCTCTGCTCTATCCGAGTCTCTGCTGTTCCATCGCAGAGTTCCAAGAAGCCTCTGAACAAGCACAGTCCAAACTCAAAACGGAAAAGCAGAGCCGGAAGCAGCTAGAACTCAAGGTGACAGCCTTGGAGGAGGAGCTCACCGACCTTCGAGCCGAGAAGGAGTCTCTGGAAAAGGTGAGTGCATGAGGGTTCTCACCTCGCCCGAGTGGCTACTGGAGCCACATAGGATTAACTGCTTAAGAAATGATCTCTCGGGGCTGGAGCAATAGCACAGTGGGTAGGGTGTTTGCCTTGCACGCAGCCAGCCCGGGTTCGATTCCCAGCATCCCATATGGTCCCCCGAGCACCGCCAGGGATAATTCCTGAGTGAAGAGCCAGGAGTGACCCAAAAAGCAAAAAAAAAAGAAAAAAGAAAAAGAAATGATCTCTCTGGGCAGGAGCAATAGCACAGCAGATAGGGCGTTTTCCTTGCACGCAGCCAACCCAGGTTTGATTCCCAGCATCCCATATGGTCCCCCGAGCACCGCCAGGGGTAATTCCTGAGTGCAGAGCTAGGAGTCACCTCTGTGCATCACCGGGTGTGACCCAGAAAGAAAAAAAAGAAAAAATATTCTTGCATTCTCTCACTCTCTCTTTGCCTCCCTCCCTCCCTTCCTCCCTCCCTCCTCCACCCCCCTCCACTACCTCTCTCCCTCTGTCTCATCACCCCCAGCTCAGCAGTGCTCAGGACTTATTCCTGGCTCTGCACTCAGGGATCACTCCTAATGAGGGGACCATATTGGATGATAGTAATCAAACTTGTGTTGTCTGCATCCAAGGCAAGTGCCCTGCTGCTGAACTATGCTCTGGCCACTGCACCTTCTCTCTTTTTTGGGGGGTGGCCGCACCCGGCAGTGCTCAGGGCAGACTCCTGGCTCTGTGCTCAGAGATCACTCCTGGGCTGGGCTCGGGGGGACCATCCGAGGTACTAGAAGTCAACCTGGGATCAACCACATGTAAGCCATGAGCTTTTACTCCTTGTACTTTTTCTCTGGCCCCTTAATACCTTTTTATATCATGGACACTGGGCTAATAAAACTAAACTCTTTCTTGTTCTTGGTTTGGTTTGGTTTGGTTTGGGGGCCACTTTGGGTGGTGCTCAAGGCTCTGCACTCCGGAACCACTCCTGGCGGTTCTTAGAAGATACTATGGGATACCAGGGTCAAATGCAGGTTAGCTGCGTGTAAAGCAAATGCCTTACCTGCCAGACTGTCCCTCTTGTTTATGGAGAAGGGGTTTAGGACAAATTCTTGTGCTCAGTGCCTTTTCCCAACTCTGCTCAGGAGTGGCGATTGGCTGACTTGATGTGGTGTCAGGGATTTGAATAGGGGACAGCAGCGTGCCAGGAAAGTGCCTTAACACTTGTTCTGTCTCTGTGGCCCCTCTTAATTCTTTCTAACTATTGCAGAGTAATCCACAATGAAGTTATATTTATCTAACTACCTGTTGATAGATACCAATGTTTTTACTATTCAATAATTGTGACCACTTTGCTACAAATTGTTATTATTATTTCATAATTTTGACATTTTCATAGGCTAGTTTACTTAAATCATAAATGCTGGGTCAGATCAGATGCTATGTTTCAGAAAAACATTTTAGTATTGCCAGGTTTCACACTCAAAATGTATGCTAGTCGCATTTCTAGGACTATTGGACAAACCTATTTTTCCACATTCCAACTGTGCATGTATCCATTTGTTTTTGTTTTGGGGTCACACCCAGGAATGTTCAGGGGTTTCTCCTGGCTCTGCACCCAGGCATCACTTAGTGGTACTCAGAGGACCATGTGGGATGTCCTGGGTTGGCCACATGCAAAGCAAACATCCTACCCACTATACTATCACTCCGTCTCACGTGTTTTTTTTTTTAATATTTTTGATATTTTGGGTCGAATTTTTTGTCTTGTTGTATTATGTATGTTTATGAGTAGTGAGCTTTTATATAGTTAATATCTATTTGCATTTCTTTTTAAATTTCTAATGTTCTTTAACCTTAATCGGATTATATCAGTTTGATTTGTAAGCAGTATTAAGGATTTTAAATCCTTTGTGAGTCGTAGGTACTCTGAGTACTTTTGCTGTCTCTTACCCTTGTAGGTATCTTTTTGTGTGTTAATAGGTGGATGTGAGTTACTGCATTGAGAAACAAAACATTCCGATCTTTTTTCTCCTTTTCCACTTCCCTTCCCTTTGTCGTTGTTGCTGCTGTGATGGCCAGGGAGGGGGTACACACACTTTGCCACAGTGCGATAGGGGTTGCACACTGGTCGTGGTACTCATCACGGCAGTTGTGACATTTGCCCTCAGTTGGCAAGCACCGCAGATGGCATACTTGAGGTCCTGCAATTGCAGACGGCAGCACTGCCCGGATCCCGCTTGGCATGTGTGGCAGTGACGGGAAGGCAGTGGCACTGTCCCAGCACCGCCTGGGGTTTCTGCCTCTGTTCCAGGAAAGAACAGTGTTCTCGGGTATCAGTAAAGCTCCCAGGTAAAGCCCTGCTGACTTAGGGGCTTTGTAGGGGATAAGCTCTAGTCTGCATTTTCCGTGCCTTCTGTGATTTAACCTGATTGTTTTTTGAGAGCAAGTCCAGTTCCTTCTAGATTTTGGCATTTTCAGAGTTTCATTGTCACTGAGACCACAATGGTGCCCATCTTTGTAGCACAAGGTTTTTTGTCTTATTTTGTGGCCTCTCTTGGCTGCTCAGGGATCGCTCCTAGCAGTGCTTGAGGGACCATGGTACAGGGGTATGGTTCAAGGGCTCGAACCATGGGTCACTTTGTGCAAGACAAGCATTCACTTTTTGTACTCTCTCTCCAGCCCTTGTCACAGTCTTTTTGGACTTGATTTATTGCTTCCTGAAGGAAAATTAGAGAAGTTCACGCTGGTGGCAGGTTTATAGTTGAACGTTGTATGCCTGAAACTATTATGAAGAACTTTGTAAATCACAGTGCTTTAAGAAAAATAGTAATTTGTGGAATTCCCAGTGTTTTGCCAGTATTTTGTGGCATTCTCAGTATTTTGACAGTAATTTTCACAGAATTGCCATCTAAAGAGAGAGAGCCCATATATTTCCCCCAGGGATAGAGTCCATTTCCTGGTGTCCTCACCACTGCTAAGGATTTTTGCCTCGTCTTACGGAAGGTATACTTTCTTCTTGTTTTCCTTTTTGTCACCGAGTAACCAAGAATGCTAATGAATAGGGGAACACAGACCAAAAAGGCATTCTTTCCAGAAATAAGGTAAGAACCCAGAGATGTCAGTATCTGTTGCCACCCACCCCATCTCTCCTAGTGAACAGCTTGAGCTGATTGTGGTTCCCTTGTTCCGAAGAGCCTTTCAGAAAGGAAGAAGAAGTCCGCACAGGAGCGCTGCCAGGCCGAGGAGGAGATAGATGAAATCCGCAAAGCACACCAGGAGGAACTGGACAAACTCAAGCAGCTCCTGAAAAAGGCTCGGGTGTCTACAGACCAGGCGGCTGCGGAGCAGGTAACGGGAGCCAGGTGCACATTTGGGAATAAAGGAACTACAGGAGCTGCTAGCTTCTTCCTTGGCCTTTAGTATGACTGCTCCGTAGTTGTTGAACAGTGGAGGAAAGCAGTCCAGCTGATGCAGAAGAGGCAGGCAGGGTCCAGTAGAGAAATCTCCCATTTCGTCTTATTTTCTTTTTTTTTTTCTTTTTGGGTCACACCCAGCGATGCTCAGGGGCTACTCCTGCCTCTGCACTCAGGAATTACTTCTGGCAGTACTCAGGGGACCAGATGGGATACTGGGAATCGAACCCGGGTCGGCCACGTGTAAGGCAAACGCCCTACCCACTGTACTATCACTCCAGCCCCCTCATCTTATTTTCTTATTCTTGTATTATTCTAGTTTTTAGGCCACACCCAGAGGTGATCTGGGGCTACTCCTGGGACCGTGCTGAGAGGTCACTGCTTGTGGTACTCAGAGGACCATGTGGGGCCTGGGGTATTGAGCCCAGGTCAGCTGTGTTCATGACAAGTGCTCTACCCACTGCACTATCTCTGTGGCCCCACTTTTTTCTTTATTGAAACTTGAGTGAAATTTTTTAGTCATATAAGTCAAAAGGGAAAAATACATGTTTTCTGGGTCACTTCTGGTTATAGTACTTGGGTTAAATTCTGCATCTCAGGGGATGACACAGTGCCAGGGATCAAACTTGGGCCTCCCTCATGCAACGTTCCCTCTCGGCCCAGTCTGGGTGTGTGTGTGTGTGTGTGTGTGTGTGTGTGTGTGTGTGTTGGGGTTGAACGCAAGTCTCATGTATGCAAGGCACTTCGCGGCTGAGCTGCATTCCCATCCGTAAAAAAGTCCTTTCTGTCTCCCTTTCTCTCTCCTTCTCCTTTCTCATCCTCTCCCTCTCTCTCTCTCTCCTCCTCCCTCCCTCTTTCTCTCTCCTTCCCTATCCCCCTCCCCCCCTCTGTATTTGGACCAGGACTCACTCCACTCTCTAACCTGTCTTTGTACCTAGGGATCACTCTGGGTGGTGTTCAGGGGCCCACATGTGGTACCTGGGATTGAACCCAGGATTGAATCTGGGGTTGAACCTCGTGCAAGGCAAGCTCTCTGCCAGCTGAACGATCTATCACTCTGGCCTCCTGTGAAAATGTCTTTATGAAAAACTAATTTCAAACAGGGTCAGGCCAAAGTCTGAACACCTGGCACCATCTTCTGAATGCAGAGTATCTTTGAAAAGGAGGGATTTAGGGGCCCGAGCGAGAGCACAGCGGGGAGGGCGTTTGCCTTGCACGCAGCCGACCCAGGTTCGATCCCCAGCATCCCATATGGTTCCCCGAGCACTGCCAGGAGTAATGCCTGAGTGCAGAGCCAGGAGTATTCCCTGAGCATTGCTGGGTGTGGCCCAAAAAGCAAAAAAAAATTTTAAAAAAAAAGAGGGATTTAGTTACTGGATCAGAGAACTGGGGAGAGTGGCTGCCCACAGCTCTGTCTCTGGCCCATTTGGCAGCAGATTTTACACTGTAAGTTCATAAAGTCATTTATATTCATTTGTATGCCCATTTTAGTGGTGCCCTTGCTTTTATCACTGCTAGGAATTTTTTTATATTTTTATTGATTGAGGTTTTGTGGTTTACAGTATTATTAATGATTTCCCTGCCTCTGGGAATTTTGACAAAAATAAATGTCTATCAGTTTGGGGCCCAGGACTTGAAAAATGTAATAGTATTATCACTTTCTGGAGACCAATGAATGTGGCTAGAGGCACAGAAAAGGTAGTGGGTAGAGTGCCTTTTGGAGTCTGGTAACTAATTGCATCTTCCTGCTTTCATTAAAGATCCACATTTCTGAGGGTAGAATGATAGGGCAGCAGCAAAGCGCTTGCCTTGCATGCAGCTGACCTGGGGTCAATCCCTGGCATCCCATATGGTCCCTGAGCACCAGCAGGAGTGATTCCTGAGCAAAGAGCCAAGAGTAACTGAGTGTCTGAGGTTGTGACCCCAAAAGAAACAGACAAAACCCCTCACTAAGGTCTTTCTTTTGCGTGTATGTGCCACACTAGCCTTGCCCAGTTTGGTGCTCTCTGGCCCCTGCCTGTGAAGCGGGATTGAACCCGCTTCCTGTGTACAGGAAGAGCGTGTGCTTCAATCTATTGAGGTCCTGTGGTCCTAATGAAGGTCAAAATTGGTTTCAAAAGTTGTTTCCTCAACCCAGGTGCCCAAGAATAGATGAATCGTTAAAGAAACTACAGTATATCTACACAATGGAATACTGTGCAGCAGTTAGGAAAAAATGAAGTCATGAAATTTGTCTATAAATGGACGGATATGGAGAACAGCATGCTGAGTGAAATGAGTCAGAAGGAGGGGGCAGATAATAGAATGATTGCACTTATTTGGGGTATATAAAAGTATATAGTAGAAGACTAATAATATCCATGGCCAGGGAAAACAGGAGCTAGGAGGACTGGTCAGTGGTTGGAACTAACCACAAGTGTGTGTGGAGCTGAGGGTAGGTAAGATAGAGGAGGGGCCAGTATGACAAGAACAGCTGGGAGTGATCACGCTGGACAAGATCTGAGTGTTAAAAAGTAGGGAAAGGGGATTTTCTTGATAACCTTTCAGTGTCAGTATTGCAAACCACAGTGCCCAGAGGGAGGTGGGGGGGGGAGAGAGAGAGAGAGAGAGAAAGAGAGAGAGAGGGAGAGAGGGAGAGAGGCACTTGCCATAGCTGTTTTTTCCTTTTCTTTTCCGTACGAAAGCTGGGCTTTCCTAAACGTGACAGGGTCCCTGACTGTGGGCCTTGACTTCTCTTGGCAGCTGTCCCTAGCGCAGTCTGAGCTGCAGACCCAGTGGGAAGCCAAGTGTGAACATCTGTTGGCATCTGCCAAGGACGAACACCTGCAGCAGTACCAGGAAGTGTGTGCGCAACGGGACGAGAGCCAGAAGCAGCTGCTCCAGCTCCAGACAGAGGTAGGCGTGCCGGCCGACTTAGAGTGCCCGCGCCGTGGAGGAAAACAGGTTACGTGGGTCTCGTAAGTTCATAGGAACCTACCAGCCGTAAATAGCTTGAGAATAAGACCCACAGCTGATCAGCTCTCCTGTTTATCAGCAGTTGTTTGAATACTTCTTTGGGATGACAGGTCAGTGACCTACAAGAAAGAAGAGCAGCTTGACTACTCTGAACTGTGATTTCCATCATTATTCAGTCCTTCATCTACTAAACAAAGATTCCCTGATTACCAGTTGTATTCTGGAAACTGTGCTAAGGGAAAGGCTTACAAAGATCTCTGCCCTCAGAAACCTCACAGTAAAATGAATCTTGGAAGAGAGCAACACGCTGCAGAGATGTCTCCCTACCCCGTGCCAGACTGATTTCATCCAGGCACCTTACAGGGGGGCAGCTGTATCCCTCCAACTCCCCCAAAAGAACCCTGGCAGCCGCAAATCCCCAGAACCCTGTTTACCACTGTGCTTACAGCCAGCCTCCTCAGGCTGTCCCTGAAGCCCACCCCCAGCCCCCAACCCCCAACCTCCACCCATGCATGAGATTGAATCTGCTGAAAAGCCCAGGTCTGTGGGACTTGTGACTGAAATCTCCAGGCTCATCCGGAGTTGGAAATAGGCCCCGCCTCCCATCTCCCTGGGCTTCCTGTTTCCCCAGCAGTCACCCCACAAACTGCCTCTGGGCGCCATTGAAGCGCATTAACAACGATGATCCAGAGACTCACAAATGAAATCTCGGAAGGGAGAAACACACTGCAGAGATGCTTCTGGACCCCAAAATCACCAGCCCACATGTTAGTGATCTCTACTACAGGGCCTGTCACTCATAACAAGCAAGCACTGTAGCACGGTCCTCCTGTTGTTCATCGATTTGCTCGAGCGGGCACCAGTAACGTCTCCATTGTGAGACTTGTTACTGTTTTTGGCAGATTGAATACGCCACGGGGAGCTTGCCAGGCTCTGCTGTGCGGGCCGGATACTCGTGGTAGCTTGCCAGGCTCTCCGAGAGGGACGGAGGAATCAAACCTGGGTCGGAGTGATAGTACGGCAGGGAGGGCGTTTGCCTTGCACGCAGCCTGCCTGGGTTCAATTTCCAGCATCCCATATGGTCCCCCGAGCTCTGCCAGGATTAATTCCTGAGTGCAGAGCCAGGAGTAACCCCTGAGCATCGCCAGGTGTAACTCATAACAAGCAATACCAAATAAATTATTTAGTATCTGCCTTTGGGGCAGGCTTGGATGGCGGTGGTAAAATTTGAAGTAATTGTGGAGGGAAAGAATGGGCAAGTGTAGTGGTGGTGGATTGGTGTTGAAATATTGAATGTGATCAGTTACTGTGAACTACTCTCTGAAAGTCAAGTTTAAAACCACAACAACAGAAGACCCTCACAGTTCAGGAAGGAGACAGAAACAAAGACGAGTGTCCTCGGGTTCTGGGTCAGAGTTCCCAGAAGGAGGTGAGATTGGAGCTGCGCTGTGAGGGACGAGTAACTGGTCATGTGGGAAGATGGGCAGAAGGTCATGGGCAGAGCGCTGAGATGAAGCATGGGGTACGAAGGGACCATCCGGCGTGAGTGGGGGAGAGGTGCGGGGTCTTGGTGTGAGTGTTGCCTCCACTAGAGTCGTGGCAGCATCTTTCCTTAAACTGTCCAGCTGCAAATCTTTTTGTTGTTCTTTATTTCTATTCGGGGCCCATGCCTGGCAGTGCCAAGCAGCTACTCTTGACTCCTAGGGGGTCAGTCCCAGCAGTGTTCGGGGGACCAGGTCGTCACGGGGCTCAAGCCCAGGGCTCCTGCATACAGAGCGCACGCTCAGTCCTTTGAGCCACCTCCTCAGCCCCACTTGAAAACCCTTGACTCAGAGGGGGAGGACCTTCTCGTAGGCAAATAGGTTATTGCCAGTGCCAGTTCATAGGTCTGTATGGCCAGAATTAAGGCTCCCACCCTTTTCCCCAGGATATTCTTGATTAGGAACAGGGCATGCTTGGGAACAAGGAGACAGTTGAGGAAACGGAGGTGATGTTGTGAGTTGTGATCAAGTGAGAGGGATTAGAGTGCCCGGAGTTAGCAGGTCGGGACAGAGATGGCGGGGTGGGTACCACAGAGCCGCAGGAGGTGAACCTTGGTGCTTCAATGGGCCTCCTCCTCTCCGTGCGGATCTCACCTGGTGTCAGGGTACGGGGCCACAAAATAAACGTGATCCTTTTGTTTTACAGTGTTCAGCCCTCCAGGCCCAGGTCTCAGTCCTGACCGAGCAGCATGAACGGCACCTCCGGGCCCTGGAGCAGAGCAAGTCCCAGACGCGTGGGGGTGAAGCGCCTGATCCCTCTGAGACGGTGAGCGGTCCTTGAGGCAGGAGGATACGGCCCATCCCGGGTGCTGATAGCTTTATCTGACTGTCAGTGCCCGCCCCAGGCTACCTCTCCTGGGCCTCTGAGTCTTAGGAGGAGTGGGAGTTGGCGAAGCATCTAGCAGGCAGGTTCCCTCGGGCTCTCGGAGCTGGTTCCAGGCAGTCAGTGGTCTGTCATTAGGCACTGGACACGTGCTCCACTGATGACTCGCTCTGGGGAGCCCTTTTTCCAAGTGCCGCTGACCGTGTCACGGCATCCTCTCATGGCCTCAGGGTCACAGTGACCAGCGGTGTCCCCTGCAGACTTCTAACAGGCCTTCATCACAGCTGTCCAGACTCATCTCTGGATCTCAGCGCCATCGTTAAGGACCTGAGTCGGGCAGTGGGTCACGAGGCCCCTTTTCCCTCCTCTCTTCTTCACCCAGGTCAAGAAGATCATGAACCAGGTATTCCAGTCCTTGCGAGGCGAATTTGAGCTGGAGGAGTCGTACCAGGGCAGGACCATTCTGGGGACCATCATGAACACGATCAAGGTGCAGGCGGCAGCTGATGGGAACCGTCAGAATGGGGCCTTGTTTCCTAAGTCTCTTCTCAGAAACTGTGATTTCAAACGGTTCCAAGACAGTCTGTTGGGAGTAAAACATACCTGCAATGGCTTGCTCTCGTTTTCGATTTGGGGCCACACCCGGCAGTCCCCAGGGGTCATTCCTGGGGATGGCACTCAGGAACCCAGCCCTTCGAGCCAGCCGTCCCAGAGGGTCTTTACCCAGATAGAGGCGGCAGCCTTGAGAGAGGGAGAAGCAGAGTCCGTTGAGCTGGCCCAGCGTGTTTCTCTGGGCGAGGGCTGTCTGCTGTTTCCTGTCAGTGATGTCCCCTCCTCCTTGCCTCCTTGGGCAGATGGTGACGCTTCAGCTGCTAAACCAGCACAAGCAAGAGAAGGGGGAGAGCAGCAGCGAAGACGACGAGGAAGAAGAACAGCAAGCTCGCGGCCCCTCCCAGGAGCAGTCTGGCCCGGCCGGTTCCAGGGGTCCAGCTTCTGGAGCCCCGCGTGGGGAGAAGCAGGAGTCCCCGGGGCAGCAGGCAGTGACGGACACCGAGCCACCGCCTTCGCCAACCCTCCCTGCCCCACAGGACGGTGCTGAGAAGAGAGGGGAACCCCTGGACGCAGAGGGGCACTCGGAGAGGACAGAACCAGCTTCGCTTTTGGCGCCCCCAACGTCCATCCCCCCCAGGCCTCCAGGCCCTGTCGCCGTGGACTTGGCGTGTGAGGAGACCCTTGCTGCCAGGCCAGGGGGCCCACCGAAACCCGCCGGCGAGGGGATACAGGATGCTTCCACGGGACTGGCCGTGACGTCAGAGCCCGGGGAGGACCCTCTGGCCACAAGGCCCCCAAGTCCAGGCGTGCCTCAGTCTCAGGAACTGAAGGAAGATTCAGCTGCCGGGGAGCTGGCGAGCACGCAGGCAGGCGCTGCCCCTGCGGGCACCGCGCTCGGACCCAGCCGCTCCCCTCCGAGTGCCAGGTGGGTTCCCCCTAACGGTTCTAGGGGCGCGGGTGCTGTCTGTTTCGGAGCCGGCAGCTCCTCACTCAGAGACACGTTCATCCGCTCCCTCCCTCCCGCACGTGTCTGCAGTATTCGATATTGGGAACGAGGAAGGCTGGCTCTGAGGCTCTGGGGCGCTGCGATCGACAGAGTGATCTTCTTTTGTTTTGTGTTTCGTTTTGCTTGGGGCCATACCTCGTGGTGCTGGGGGCTTCCTCCTGGCTCTGGACTCAGAATTCACTCCTTCCTGCTCGGGCTGGGGGGACCCTCTCTGGGGGGCGGGGTTGAGCAGGTGCCTTTCACCTGCGTGCGCTCTCCAGCCGGGGCTTGATTCTTGGTCTGGGGAGCTTTGAGGCTGGATGCTCATGCCCTAGGGAAGTGGGCTCCGTGCTCGAAGAGCAAGTAACAGCATCTGGGAGGGAAGCGGCAGGGAGTCCTCCGCTTTGGAGAGAGGAGAGGGGGACGGACACTTTCCTGGCGCAGGATGGGGAGGCGAGTTCCCAGAGTGGACTGGCACATGCCAAAGCTGCAGCATGGGGTCACAGGGGAGGTGACACAGAACTAGAAGGAGGAGCAGTGGTCAGGAGGGTGGTGGTAAACGGGCTGCAAAACCAGGCAGGGGCCCAGTCATGGGAGTCTGTGTTAATGCTTGGACCTCAGGGACAAACTGGAATCGGAACTCAGGCTGAAGAGTGGCATGATCTGGTTTCTTTGTTTGAAAGACCGTTCTGACTTAGATGGTGGAGGGAATCCAGGGAACCAGGAGACTGGCGTGGAGGGGGTGGGCTTTCCCACGGGCACTGTGATCTAGAGCAGGCATCACCCTTGCTGTGACTTGATCTTCCATAGTGTCTCTGGGGACCACACCTGACAGCACAAGTGCGCGGCTCCTGGCAGTGCGTGGGGGACCGTTTGCAGTGCCAGAGAGCAGACCCAGGCCTCCCGCATGCCAGGCATGCGCTGAGCCCTTTGAACTCTCTCTCCAGCACTGCCACTTGGTTTTCATGCCTTTTTTTCTTTCAGTCTAGCGGAGGACGAAGAGGATGAGCTATTTAAAGGGGCAACGCTCAAAGCCCCAGGCCCCGAAGCACAAACTGAGGATGAGGATGAAGACGAGGTGGTAAGGAATTCCCAGGCGCAGTATGGGCCTCCCTCCGCCACCTGGGGACCCTTCCCCACTGGCACCGAGAGAGCCAGAGTGTCCTGGTGGCCGGCGCCCTGGGCTTTGTGTGCAGGGCCCTGTGGCAGCAGGCTAAGGGCTGGACGGGAGCAGCTCTGTGAACGTGGTGGGGATGGGCACATTCCCTTTCTCTCCTGAGGCCAGTGGCCAGTTCTGACCTGGCACCTGTGTCCTACATTAGAGCGCTGAAGCTTTAGTATTCCTCAGCTCAGCGGGCTGCAGCTTGTATCTTAGAACTGTGGAAGACGTAAAAGTTCTTCATTCCTGGGGCCCAGAGAGTACAACAGGTGGGTGCTTGCCCTGCATACAGCCAACCAGATTTAATGCCCAACATCCCATATGGGCCCCCTGAGCACCGCCAGGAGTAACCCCAGAGCATTGCCAGGTGTTGCCCCCCAGACAAAATAAACAGAGAAGGATCTTCAGTCCTGAACTGATGAGGTAGTGATCTCGGCACTTCGACCACATCTGTTGGAAAGAGGACTGGGGCCCAGGAGAATTAGAGTATGCCCACGGTCACATAACCAGTCCAAGGTTGCGCCGTAGAAGTGGGGAACGCAGAGGGCCTGCAAAGCAAGCTGTGGCCTATGTTTGAAAGTCCTGTGCTGTCAGCGTCCCGAGACCCCTTTCTTGATGCCCAGAGAGCACTTGGGGTCTTTCCATGGCGGAGTGGGTCTCCGACCGTGCGGCGTTCCCTTCCCTTGGGGCCTCCTTGGTGCCTGCTCTGGGCCACTTTAGCTCCCAGAGCTGAGAGCACCACAGAGCACATGCAGTGCCGTAGCATCCTTCCCTGGGGCCCACACCCCTTTCCCCCTCTCCCCCGCCCCCCCGGTTGGAGTGGGCAGGGTAGTGGATGCTCCTGCCTTAAGTCCCAGCCATCTTTAGGGATTCTCGGCCTGGTGAAGTGACCAGATCTCTGCATGTAACTTGGTACGAGTGGCCAAGCTCAGGGCCACCTCAGGTCTGGGCATGTTTCTCCCAGCCACACCATCTTCTTCCTGGCCTCCTCATCTTCCTGCAGCCTCTCTTCCCCGCTGCTCTGCTGTTCTTTCTGCTGCCATCTCTCCCCTTCGGCCCATTTCCCCACATACAACATGTCAGCTACCTCCCGAGAGAAAACCTGTCTCGTCAGTACACGTGCCGTACAAATAAATGACATTAGCCAAACTGCCTGGCTCTTCTCGTCTCTGCTAAAGACTGCCTCGTTTCTGCACGCTGGTCTCTGCTCGCCCTGGAAGCCCTCATTGTGCCAGCTGTAGGGGTCTCCTTCCCACCCTGGGGCCACCATCTCAGAGGAGGGCCCATCCCTCTGGGGCAGGGACAGGTGAGGACTGACCACTCTTTCCTGTCTTGTCAGAGCATGAAGGGACGCCCGCCCCCGATCCCCCTTTTTGGAGATGATGACGATGATGATGATATTGACTGGCTGGGATGAAGACCCGGAAACCAGCCCCACACTTGCAGGGAAGGTTTCTCTGAGAGCCAGACCTTCCCTGAGCGCAGTCGCGTCCGGCGCCAGGGTGCGGTGAAGGTGGCGCCTTCTGAGAACAGCGGTTGAGCTACCCAGGAGCCTGACTTCAGAGTACAGGGTTGCGGCTGCTGCTGGTGACTTGCTCAGTCCCACTCGGGGGCGAGCCGGAAGCTTCCAGCAGGTCCGTGACAAGAGTCTCACCCTCCTGCCAAGCTTTTTACTCTCCGCTAACTCGGACTCATCTGGGGAACTCGGTCTCTTCCCAGTGACCCAGCCACAGGACCTCTTGCCTGGGATGTGGTCTCGGGGGTGGGACGAATGCCCCCAGCCCCCAGCCCCCAACCAGCCTCACCTGCAGTCCCGGGACATGTATCTGTTCTCTGCCTTAAATCTTGACTCGAGGCCAATGAATAATTGATGTTAACAGAACTAATAAATGTTCTTGCACTTGACTTGCACTTGACCCCAGCTCTCGGGGATGAAGTGAATGTGATCTGTGCTTCTCTGGGGACCTTGGGGTAGGAGGGGATGCAGACAAGGATCGCTTAACATAGACGAAAGCAGTGACAGACCCCTAAAGCCCCCGGCAGGCATTGTGGGTATCTGAGGACCCGTCCTAGTCTTCTCAGTTCTGGCGGGCCCCACCCCACACTTTGAAGACCACGAAGAGTGGTGAAGAGCCTTTACACCTGACCTTCATCCCTCTTGGCACCTGCGGGATTTCCCACTACTCTGAGAGCCATTCACGCTTGATCTGAACTTGGGAATAAGACCAACAAAGAGAAACCATGCAATCAGTCTTCAAAAGCATAATGATTTTAATAAAAATACTCCCTGATTCAAAAGTGTTCATGAGACAAATCTAAATCCCACCTCCCTGGCTGAGCCATTCTCTGTAATGACAGCTTTGCACCTGCCCACCACAGGTGGGATGCGGCAGTGAGCACCCCCAGGGACTGACCTTTGCTGTCTGAGACTTGTGTAGCACTTGATACAGCTGTAACAGAAGATAGGGCCTCTTTTTTGGAGGAGAAACCGGCTTTGGGAGGTAAAGTAACATACTCATGATGCTACAGCCATTGGGCAGCAAAGCAAGAATTCAGACCCTGGCAGATTGCCAAGTGAGGATTCTTGGCTGCCCCGCAGGCCGCCCCTCCCCTGCCTGATGCTCAAGGGATGTCTGTCAGAGAAGTCAAGGCTGCCGGGCCTCCCCCCCAGACCTCCTTAGAATGTTTCAGACGAGTCATAGGGAAATAAGCACAGGCCTTCTGGCCACCAGTGTGCTGACAGCCCCGATGCACTGGTTGCCCTCGTCGCCTCAGCGGGACACCCGTGCGGCTTTACCCCTCATCCGAGCCGCAGGATGGACACGGACCTGGCGTCCCAGCTCTGCCTCCGACAGCCACCCAATGAACAGCTTCCATGCTGAGGCCAGAAACCATTCTGCTATGCCTGAAGACCGAGTTAATGCTGTTTAAGTGCTTGGAACACTCCTGGCACGTAATACAGCAGAGGTGGCATGTTGGGCAACAGCACCCGGGTGACTTGGCTCTGAAGAATGTGGAAATGCCCACCGAGGCCAAGCGTACGCTTTGTCTAGAATGTTGTTTTGCAGAGCCCCCTACGCCTTTAGTCTTGGTTGTGTTAAATGCCTGGTGGTGGTGTTCTGGGCGGGAGCCGGAGCAGGGCAGACATAAACAGGCCAGTCACACTCCACTGGAAACTGGAACCCCCACACCTGCTGTGATACCGAGCAGCCCCCTTGCCCCTCCCCCAGATCCCTCCCATCTGTAAGAGGGAGCCTTGGTGGTCCTAAAGTGACATACAGCACTTCCTCTGTTTCTTAGTAGATCTTTAAAAAGTGCTTCTGGAACATCTTTGCTTGTGCCTTCCGGGAGAGAATCTGCTGACACCTGTGGCAACCCTGATGTTTACAGAGCATGTGACAGTCCCTTCTCTCACGGAGGCGCCTGATAGAACGAACTCGAGACCAACCGTCAACTGGGCGGGCGCTGTGGGCGTCTGCCTGTGGGCACGGCATTGCGAAACTGGGTTTCCCTGAGCACAGAGCTGTTGTCTTCAGAGCAGATGACAGTCTTCAGTCCTGCTGACACCATGCCAGCCAACCTGTGCGTTCACCCCTCAACCCCTACAACAGCGAGGATGCACCACATCCACGGAGTGGCCACCCTCCTTAGGAACGTGTCTGTCTTTTTCCGTCCCCACAGCAGCGGCTTTCCCTCCCGGGCTCTCTCATTTCCTGTCCTAGAATGTGAGTCAGTTCCATCAGCTGGGTGGGCCAGGAGACCCCGGTCTGGCTCTGTCCATGGAATGCTTTGGTCTCACTGCTTACTTAACATCTCTCAGTCACTCTCCCCAGGACTCATCCCGCGTTTGAAGTGGATGAATCGGGTTTCCCTGCCACGTCATTAGGAATAATATGAGACACCAAGAACAACCTGCAGTCCAGCGCAGTCCTCTGTTCTGCACAGAGTAGGGCTCAGGATAGGGGAGCGTGAAGGCTAAGAGTGCTCCCCAAACTCTGGCTCCTGGAGGCTGTGCGGTCACAGGCTGGCAGTCTCTGCCACTCTTCCCCTAGAAGAAAGGGAAGCCAGTGCCAGCTGATGAGACCTCCCTCGTGAATAAAATGAAGTCATTTCGTTAAAAAAAAAAAATCACGTTTTGTGCTAATGTGCAAAACTGTCAACCAGGAGTTCAGAGGGTAAAGTGAGAAGTTCCGTTTGTCAACATGATTCACAGAGGAGACGCGCTCTGCGTGTCCCAAAGATAAGCTCAGGAGCTCCCGTGAAGAAGAAGCCCAGAAGTCAGGGGCAGACGCTCCTCTCGATAAGGCACAAATCAGAGCCGACAGGAGCCAGGTCCCCGCACCCACACCCATCCACCTGGAAGATCTTTGGAAATGCTTAACTTTTGAGTCACAGAGAAGTCATCGTGGGCTCGGCAGCCGTGCCCCAGGTTCTGTTGGCTTCCTCCTTGTGTGGGGCACCAGCCCAGGCCCTCTGCAGGCCAGCTGAAGAGAGGCAGTGGTCTCGCACCCCAGGGAGCAAGTGCTGCTGCCTCGGGGGCGAGTTTCCAGGGGCCGGAGCCAAGGCGAGGAACGAGGCTCTTGGAAGACAAAGGCGATGTGGGGCTGGGAGCACAGCTTCTGCGAGAGGTCTAGGCCCCGCCAGCCCTCGCCGCCTGCACGGCTCTCGCCGGCTAACCCAGGCTGAGGAGTGGGTAGGCGAGGTAGTAGCCCACGGCCGAGCCCAGGACCACGCCCAAAAAAATCCAGGTGTTGTAGGTCATCACAGCCAGCATCATGAAGTAGCTGATGACTACCTGAGCAACGTGGATTAGAGACTGGCCAGAGTGACACAGAAACCACCTAGGGGAAAAGGAGAGCCAGGTTAGTGCTGGCTAGGAGCCCCGGGCTAGGAGGTGAAGTCACGGCAGAAAGAGCTGCTGGGTTCCTGACCAGCAGAGCTAAGCTGTGTGAGCACAGCCCAGACCAGACCAGATCTGTTATTTTGGTTTTAAGTTTTGGTCCACACCCACTGATCCACTGATGCTCACCACCGCTTACTCCTGGCTCTGTGTTCAGAAGTCACTACTTTTATATATATATATGTATATATATATATATATATATATATATTTTTTGCTTTTAGGGTCACAAGGGCTGAGAGAGGGGACAAGGGGGCACCAGAGTGGGGGGTGGGCAGGGGGGAGGAGCGTGCTGCTGACAGCGTTGCTCCTCTGCTGCGTCAAGACGCACAGCACCCTCTGGAGTCCTCGGGGGGCTAAGGGGCCGGCAGGGTAGGGGATGGACAGGGCCTGGCTCCCTCCCCCCCCCCGGCCTCGGTGTCCGTTCTGTAAAGCAGGGATGCGTGGCCTTTACCTGCACCCAAGCCCTTTACCTGAGGCGCGCCTGGCCGCCCAGGGGCAAGTTGGAAGCGGCCAGGTTCTGGTCGGACTCCTCGATGAGCTGCTGGCTGCTGGAGGCGGACATGCTGGACAGCGCCCGCTGCAGGAGCATGGCCTTGCCCACTTTGATGCCTTCGTACAGCACAGCCAGGAGCAGGACCACCACCACGGAAAGGGCCATGCCTGTCGGAGGAAGCCGGGCTGCAGAGACCTGGGCAGGGAGGCCGGGTGCCAACTCCCGCACCTGCTCCCAGGCCCTTGTCATCCCCGCCACCAACACCTCCCTGGCCCCCTGCCCCCCACCTCTGGTCTGCTCCCCACCTCCTCTCCCCACTCCCCTGCGAGCCTACTCTCGGAGGCTTGGTCTACGGTGGAGGGTGAAGAAACAGCCATGGGCAGGTGACACAAACCTCCTCCGTGACTTGACACTTCTCCCTGGGGGGAGTCGGAGGGGCGGGGGGCGGGGGGCGTTCCAAGGAAAGGAAGGAGGAGGCACCAGGCAGCGGGCACACACCTCAGCATATTAGGATACATGAGGTTTTTATTACCTTCTCACTGAATTTTCTACTTTCTTCAGTTTTTTTTTAATTTGATTATAAACGGAAGGGAACCAGTAAGTCATTTTTTTATAGACAATATGAACTGCTTATTACAGCCTGTGTAAATTGCCTGTTTACTGCTACTTGTTTTTACAAGTGGAGGAGAACTGCTTTTGTGGTCTGGCTCTAAGCAGCAACTATGTAACCCGATGGGTAGCAGCAGGTGAGTGGAAATGAATCAGCACAGGAGGCAGAAGGCAGCCTTCCCTCCTGGGCCTGTCTCTTGCTAACCCCTGACAGCTTTCAGAACTTCCAGCATCCTTCTTCTAGTTCTTTTTTTGGGGGGGTGGGGGGGATGGTGAAAGGGGATATTGGGCCATACCCAGAAGTGCTCAGGGCTCACTCCTAGACCATACACAGTGCCAGGGATAGAACCAGGGCCAGTCCTGTGCAAGGCAAGTGCCTTCCGCCAGTACTCTCTCTCGCCCGACTGGCCCTTCACTGTCCCATTGTCCCCCTTCTGTCCGTGCTGACCCCACCACACCTCCTGCCCTGCAATCTGGAAAGGCCTTCGGGGCTGTCCCAGCCACCAGCAAGGCAGTGAGGCGGGGTGACTGCCACGGTGGGGCTCTGGAACTGGCCGGCAAGTGCAGCTTCCACGGAGGCATGCCCTGCTCTCTCGGAAGCCAGCCTTCCGGTCACCGGGAAGCGCAGGACATGGACACGCCTGCATCGGGCAGTATACAGGAGAACAGGGAAGGCTTCCGGATGAGTCCCTCTGAGTGAGGATCAGTTAGAGGGGCCCGAACAACTCAGGACCTGAGCAAAGCGATTCTGTCTTTCTGAGCCTGCAGTTACTCGGCAGTCCAGTACTGGCATGAGACGGCCAGACTCTATGGCCTCGGCACCTACAATGACCAGCCTTTAGGTCATTTCCAGTCATTGGGGTGTTTTTGTTTGCTGGTTTGGTTTGGTTTGGGACCACACCCAGCAATATGGGGTGGGGAAGGGGGGTTATTCCTGGCTCTGCACTCTGGGATTACTCCTGATGGTTCTCTGGGGACCATATGGAATGCCGGGGATTGAAAAGGGTCAGTCCATGTCCAAGGTAAGCAGCCAAGCCACTGCACTATTGCTGTAGCCCTCTCTAGTCTAAGATGTGATTATTTTGCACGGAGACATCACCCTGCTCTGAACTACTGCCCAGCTCTGCCTTCTGAAGCTAAAGGAATCTTCTGTTTGCAAGAGGTTTCACTGGAGGCTCTAAGCTGCAAGAACTGTGGACAGCGTGCCCGAAGGGGTCAGGTGAGGCAGCGGCCAGAGGCCTTCACCTGGTTCTGGCTCTGTCACTGACTTGCTGTGCAACCCAAGACAAGTCTCCCGTCTCTGGGCTGCTTCTCCCTGTGTAATAGAGGAGAACGCCCTCCCCTGACCTCTCCTGGGCCTCAGAAGAGCCCTGAGCAAAAGGAGCTGCCAATAGAATCCCAAATGCGGCACTCCCTGCGCAGTGTTTGCTGAGAGCTAATGCTCCCCTGCCCTGCCAGGCCAGCAAGAAAAACCCGATTCTCCCAAGTCTTCCCAGTGCTTACCTGTGGGACTGTGGACACTCCAGAAATCAAAGAGAAGCACCACCTTATCTGAGAAGATGAAATGCATCTGCAAGACACGAGAAACTGCATCACGGGAGGGTGCAGGACGTGGGTGCTGCTCCAGTACTTCCCAAAGGCCCAGAATCAGTGCATGGGAGGAGGGGGTAGAGACATGGGGTGGGGCGGTACAGGATGGGACACTGCAGCTTAGGAGTTGGATGGGCCATTCAAGGTCATCAGAAGTGCAGGGACTATAGCTTGAGGGGCCCCATATGGGTGGAAGGGAGGTGGGGGCGCCCCTCCTCACCCTCCACCAGGCTCACACCTGCAGTGCCCTCAGGCCAGGCTGGGATGCGGGCTTGGTGGCCTGCAAAGCCCCTACACCACACTGGCATGCAGAGCCAAGTGCAGCTTCTTACCCCTGCCCTGCCTGCACCAGGGGGCACCTCTGTTCCTGGCCCTGCAAGGCTCCCGCATTGGAGCCAGGGTCCCTCTGTCCTGAGGGCACAGGTAGACAAAGCAGCAGCGTCTGCCAGCCCAGGGCTGCTGTGTCGAGTATGTGCCCTACATCTGCTCTTTGAAGCCCACCTCTGTGTCCAGAGAGTGACCGGAGGTGAACATCTCTGCACGTGGTGGGCTTCCCCCCAGCCTGCTGGAAAGACGGCAGGAGGAGAGAGACGGACGGGCCCCACGGTGCCAGCTGAATGTCACCTCACAGGGTCCTGGGGCTACCTTGAGTTCGGGGTGGATTTGCACCACTGGCCTCATCTTGTAGAGAGAGGGGCAGTGAGGCTCACCACCCCCAGGAAACCAAGCTCGGGAGAGTTCAGTCATGGGCGAGGGTCACAGTGCTGGGTGCAGAGCGGGGCCTGCTGGCATATGGAATTCCCATATACCCCACTCCCTCTGCTGCTTCATCACCAGGCAAGGAGTAGAGATGGGCACTGGACAGAAAGTGCAAGTGCCCCCCTGCAGCTGGCTCCATGACTGTGCTGGGCAAGCCTGAAGCCCACTGGGAGTCTGGGGGGTGGCTCAGGGTACAGCACAGGCCGTGTGTGGCCAAGGCCCCAGGCTTGGGAGAAAGAATGCGGTAGATAGGGTGCCGGCCTTGCATGCAGCAGCACCAGAGGCTCCATATGGTCCTCTCTGCCACTCACCCTTTCCAAGTAAGCACCAGTGAGTGTGACCCAAAATTAAAAAAATAAAATTAGGGCTGGAGTGATAGTACAGCAGCTGACCTTGCACATGGCTGAGCTGGGTTCAATCCCTGGCATCCCATATGGTCCTCCAAGCACCGCCAGGAGTAATTCCTGAGTGCAGAGTCAGGAGTAACACCTGAACATCGCTGGGTGTGACCCATAAAGAAAAAAAATCATCATTCAATTTAAAAAGAAAAAGAAAAAAGGGCAGCCTGATCAGTGATCCTCTCAAGAAAGTCCCCTCTTGTCGCCCGCAAAACAACCTTCTTTTGGCTACACCGCCATGTCTCCTGGCTAAGGCAACCCAGGCTGAAGGAAGCGGTCACCTTCCAACACAATGGCCACCTGTTAGAATTCTCACAGTACAGGAGCTTCGGGTATACAAGAGAGTGATTCAGGGTGGCTGTCCATGAAACAATCGCCCTGCAAGCTAGCTACCATTCATCACCACACAGGTACCATTCTCTTTTCTTGTAATGAGAACCTTCCAGATCTAATCTCAAAATGTACAAAACAGCCTTAACAATAGTCACCGTGTTGTCCATTATGTTCCCAGGGCTTGTTTGCTTTGAGTTTTTGGTCTCCCGCTTCTCACAATCCTTTTGTGAGGGAACAGAAAGGCAAACACAATTGTCCTTGTAAGTGGACTCATTAAAAACGGCAGTGTTAGGGGTGGGGGGGGGGAGCAGGAGCCACAGGACAGTGGGCTGGGTGCTTGCCTTGCAGGCAGCCAGTCTGGGTTTCATCCGTGGCACCCCCTAGGGTCCTCTGAGTCCTGCAGAAGTCATTTCCTGAATAGAGTCAGGAGTCAGTCCAGAGTACTGCTAGGTGTGACCGCCCACCCCCACCTCCCAAAAAAGCACCCATTTGGGGGTTAGAAGAGCAATCTGAACTCTGCCGAAAGTCAGTGTGTGGAAATTCCGCTCAGGTCCAGCTCCAGCTTCTGCCCTCCTGTCTCCTCTGTCTCTTCTAGATAGTCCTATGAGGAAGGATTTGTCTAACGCCTCAATGTAGAATCAGGAAACTGGGCAGTCTGAAAAGCGTATTGAACTTTAAAAACATAAATAAATAAGTCATTTTCAGGGGCTGAAGGCGCTTGCCCTACACACAACTGATCCACATTCAATCCCTGGTACCCTGTATGGTCCCCGGAGCCCTGCCAGGCATGATCCCTGAGTGCAGAGCCAGAAGTAAACCCTGAGCACTGCCAAGTGTGGCCCCCATTATGCCATGGGGCCTCCCCACCTGCCCAAAAAAAGCCTCCGTATTTTCAGGAGCTTGGGTATGTGACTCAGTGGTCATTGCTCCGGCATGGTCACTGTGACAGCACCCCCCCCACCCAGCCCACCCCTGGCACCATCACCAAGACCCAGTATCTCAGCAATGACAGCAACAAAGGAAAGGGGGAAATGTTGGGTGAATTTTTAATCCCTTAATATGAAAGTGGTTCTTACTCCATGTAAAAGGCTGAAACGGTCTCAAAAAGAAAGTGAAAATCTTTTTTGAGTTCCACTGCCCAAAGAAATCCATTGTTAACATTCTTTTCTGGAGGACCAGAGAGATAGTACAGTGGGTAGGGCGTTTGTCTTGCACATGGTCGACCAAGACTCGATCCCCCAGCATCCCATATGATCCCCTGAGCACTGCCAGGAGTAACTCCTGAGCACAGAGCCAGGAGTAACCCCTGAGCAACAAAAAAAGGATTCCTTTTTGTTTTGTTTTGTTTTCTTTCTTGTTTGATGGCTACACCCCATAGTGCTCAGGGCTTATTTCTGGCTCTGTGCTCATGGGTCACACCTGGTGGGTTAAGGGAATGATATGGGGTACCAGGGAATCGAACCTGGGTCAGCCCTACCCACTGTATTATCGTTCTGCCTCTCATTGTTAAGATTCTTTACCAGCCATGCACTGGGCTGAGTACATGCTTTGCATGCTGGAGGCCCGCACACTGGGGTCCCTGAGCACTGCTGCGAGTAAGCCCCAGAGCACTGCTGTGTGTTGTGGAAAAAATTTTTAAGATATTTACGATAAAGACTGCTTTGGGCTGTCTTTATCTTAAATATCTTTTAAGATAAAAAATATTTATTATTTAAGATAAAGACTGCTTGCGGGCTGGGACTCCTTGCAATGGTGGGCCTTGCACATATGAGGTCCTGGGTTCAGTGCCAGCTCAGGAAGGTCCCCCTGAAACAAGGCAAAGATAACTATTGGACATGGTCTACTGCCCTTGCCCCGAAGCCTAAAGATGAGGCCCTCAGTTTACCCTTCCTCCAAAAGTCTTCCTCATTTTGTTCTTCCCCAAGGCCTAACCCTTACTTTGAGGTTTATAAGTGAGATGGAACTGGCCCTGAGGATGTTTGATTACTCAGCCTGGCACCCACTGGTTTGGAATGCCTCCGCTTTCTAAAACGTTCTGCCCGGTTCTTTTTCTAGAAAACCCTTCTTGCAACCCTGAAGGCAAGATGGTTATCTGGGGGGGGGGGGGGGGAGTACTCCGGCTTCCTACCTGCTGGCTTGTTGCCAATCAAACTCCGTATCAACCCATACATGGCAGTGGAGGGATCCCAAGCACCAAGCTGGGGCAGCCCCTGGGCAAAGCTGGGCATGCACCCCCTCCCCACAGACAAGAAAGAAAAAAAGCTAAACCAAACAAAGGTGCTTGCCGACCAGGTCCACCCAAGACCCACGTGCCAAACGAACAGGCATAAATAACTCCCCAAAGCCCCACTTACATGGGATGTGCACTTGGACTCAGCAGCACCCCGCCCCCTCCCACACACCGTTAGCGGGAGGGCTGGAGGGGAGAACTGCATCATTTCTTGCAGCCCTCCCCCAAGTTCACTTGATGAAGCAGCTGGCACGACTGGAATGTCCCCCGAGGCGCATTCATCAGTGAGGTTCCACAACTGGGTGACTCCTCTGTCAGCCTCAGCCGGGGCAGTTATCTCAGGGCCCCCAGAAAGCATTGCCAGTACCCAGAGGAAACCCACTCACACACAAGCATGGGCTCTGGCTGTGTGGCAGGAGGTAGGGGTAGGAAAGAGATAGCGCCAGCTCCTGGGGTGAGGAAAGCGAACTGGACCCCAGGTGCACTGAAGTCCAGAAGGGAGGCATCCAGTGAGGCAGGTGTGTGTGAGTGTGTGCAGGGGGGAAACAACCTGGTAGGTTAGATGTGTGTGTGTGTGTGGGGGGGGGACGCGAGGCAAGCACAGGTGGCCAGGGGGGTGTAGGAGACAGCCAGGAAAGACTGTCCCCAAGCTGCAAGGTGCAAGGGTCTGGTTCTCTCTGGATGGGGCGTGAGGAGCCTGGGAGAGACCCAGCAATCCTCTGGGCTTACTCCTGGCTCTGTGCTCAGGGAACACCCCTAGCGGTGCTCAGGGGACCACATGAGATGCAGGGGATGGAACCCGGGTCAGCCACTTGCAAGGCAAGTGACCCACCCGCTGTATTATCTGTACCAATCCTGCCTTTTCACTAGAAGAAAGACTGAACCGGTCACGCCCTGATGTGGGATGCAGTTCCGGACCTGCTGCGAGGCAAGGCTGGGGCTGGGGCTTCTAATCTCAGGCTCGGGCTTCTAATCTGGATCCCCCATTTCCCAGGAGCCCTGGCAGCTGAGCTGAACTATCTGGGCCTCGGACCGGCTCCACCCTGGGCTGGGCAGGGCTGCCGGGAGGTGGGGTTATCTGCTGCTTGGGGTTACTTGCACTTTGGAGAAAAGTGCGTCCTCCTGTATAAACCAAAGCTGAGCAGGAGATAACTAGTGATAAGCACTTCCGTTTAGTTCCCAGATTAGGGAAAGATCAGAGAAGGGGCAAAATGGGTGGGTGGAGGTTTGGAATGGGGGCGTGGAGGAAGGGGGAACACTGTTGACTGCCCGGCCTGCATCGGCTTCCTGTCTCCTCAATTCCGCTGCATTCTCTCGGAAGACAACGCGACCCTCTCCCCAAAGACCAAAGAGCAGGCTGTGTTTCTCTCCCGAGGACTCGACCCAGAAAACTGCTGATCTGGAACGCTATTCCGGACCCAAAGTGCCGGGAGGATCCCGGAGGAGCCGGGTCTGTCCCGAGCCCCTTCATAATCCCCAGGAGAATCGAAGAATCGCGAATCAGGCAGGACCAGGGGGCGGCCAGGGGGCTGGGGTCCGCGTGAGCCTCCAGCGCAGGCTGGAGCGCACCCCACCGCACCCCACCCCACCCCCACGTCACAGCGCCCAGGACGCGGCTGGCCCCCCGGACAGGGGGCATCCCTTTGCTCTCGGCTGCGCCGCAGCAGGTGCTCACAGCTGCTCCTTCCGCCGCAGGGACACCCAGGAGGGGGACCACCAGCGTCTCCCCGAGCCCCCGGCCGGCTGCGCCTCCCGCCAGGCTCGTTTGCATGCACGGCGGGCACCGCTGCCAACACCGCCCCCCACCTCCCCAGCCCCGGGCCAAGGTGCCCCGGGCCGCCCCCCACAGCGGCCCCTCCTCCGGGACTCACCGTGGCGATGTGAGCGCCGGTCCGACACGCGCCGGCGTCTGCTCCGCTCTGCCCGCTCGGGTCTCCGGGCTCCGAGTCCGGCCGCGGCTCCGCGGGGAGCAGGACCCGGGCCGGGTGTCACGTGGTCCGGCTGGCGCGCGGGGGCGCCTGGGAGTTGTAGTCCCGCGCAGTAGTTCCCCCTCACCCCACCCCGCCGCCTTCACAAGCCTGGTCCAAAATGCTTCTGCGCCCCGCGGTCAATCATGGGGAGTTTGGCACGACCTGGGACGAACACCCGGCCCGCTGGACTTAACAATAGCAAAGTGGGAGCAAATGACCTAAATTATGACCCGGATGTTTTTCTTTTTGTTTGTTTGTTTGGGGGACCACAACCGACCAGGACCTCTCCTGGCTCTGCACCTACGAATCACTCCTGGCAGGGCTCGGGGACCCTCAGGGGTGCCAGAGACCCAACCGGGTCAGCCTTCACTCCAATACTATCTCTCCAGCCCCTGTTTTTGTTTTTCAGTGAAGTACAAGTTTTCTCATGCATATGGATGCATGAGAAAGACTCAGACACAGAGTCAGAAAGATAGTGGAGAGAAAAGGGAATGCTAGGAAGTGAAAGGAATCACACACCCAAGACAGGATTTTGTTTTACATATTGATAAAGGTCATTATCGATCATTAGCGATCCAAGGGGGGGGGAGCAGGTTGTGTTTATATGTAAATGGAATGTGTCTTTCTTTGATGGTGTGGGGGGTGTCAGTGAACTTTGCCTCACAGGTATTTCTGTGTGTATCTTTGTGATGCCTGTTGATCTCACCTGTCCGCCTTTTGGCTGGGACATTTTCTGGGGAGTTAAGGGACTTTGAACAGTATTCAGTTTTTATTTACTTCTTTCTTGGGGTGGGGTGCTCCCAAGCAGTGCTCAGGGGACATCCCTGCCCCTGCCCCCTGCAGGAGGCCAACTCAACCTAGCAGGGCAGTGGCTCTGAGCTCCTGGCTCTGAGCTCAGGGACCACTCCTGGAGGTGCCCTGGGGGACTGTTGGTGGTGTCAGGGATTGAACCTTGGTCAGCATGTGCAAGGCAAGAGCCATACCCGCTGCCCTATCTCTCAGTTCAAATGCTGAGTTGGCACATAATGACTCTGGAAACTTGGCAGTTGATTTTATGTTTCTGCGTCTCAATCTTTTAATGATTGAAATTCTGAGACAAAAACCAATGGGGGGAGGGGCGCAGAACTATAGTACAGCAAATAGGGCACTTGCCTTGTACAAGGCCAACCAGGGTTCAATCCCAAGGATCCCATATGGTCCTCAAGCACTGCCAGGAGTGATTCCTGAGTTCAAAGCCAGGAGTAACTCCTTGAGTATCACCAGATTTGGCCCCAAAACAAACAAACAAACAAAAAAAGAATTTGTAAAATCTTTGTTATCAGTTGTTTGTTTTTACACAGCTTTCAGTTTGAGGTTTTTTTCTTTTGGGTCCATACCTAATGGTGCTCAGGGTGGTGCAAGCGATTTGCACCATGCAAGACCAGCACCTTACTTCTGGTCCCGTTCTGCCTTTTAAATGAAGACACGTTTTCATTTTCAGCCTAGGAACTGGCAGTGTCAACTTGTTCAGTAATGGTGGCTGTTGCCACCATCGCCAATATTTCCCTTCCGCGAAAGAAAGTTCTCCTCAAAGGCCCAGTCACTTGCTCAAGGTCAGACAGCTTCCAGGGGCCTCAGTCTCAAAGTGAGCGGGAGTTAAGAGGACAGTCCGGGACTGGGGGACCTAGTTACAGAGGGAAAGGAGAGGGAGCAGGGCACCCTGAGGAAGTCTGGGAGGGAAGCCAGCTGCTGTGGATTATGGAAGAAGTGACTAGAAGGGGGATGGGTACTCTGGAAGCTTCTGGGCCCAAGAGCGCTGGAGGTTTTCAAGTGTGCCTCACTTGGAAGCAGGAGTGAGAGTACTTGACCTTCACCCAAGCAGGCTGGGGTGTGCACCCCCCACTTCCACCTCCCCCACACACCCCTACCAGGGAGGACCCACAACACAGCTTCATTCATCTGACTGTGTGTGTTGGCCCCGTCACCATCCGATGACCTTCTCGCTCAGTTCCAACTTCCTAAAGCGCAGCACAGTTAAAATCCTTTGCCCTACAGCTCTAAAGCGCGGCTCTTCTTCCTGCACCACAGGAGATGGCCCCCTCCTCCTGCTCCCCCAGAGGGGACAGCTCAGGGTGCAGGTCACAGGTACCACTTCTGAGATCACACCCCGCCTGCCCCAGAGATCCTTTCCGGATTCTGTACGTGGCCTGCCCTTGGACTCCCCTTGTCCCAGGGAAGGAAAAAGAGGCTGTAGTTAAGCCGGAGCTCTGGGACAGGGATCAACTGGGAAGACAGCGCCGGCTCCTGTTACACACACTTGGCCCAGCGTCCCTTTAACAGAGCTCTTGAGCTCGTCAGAGGTCAGTTAGCACAGGGGGAAATCTGACCTGTCATTTCTCCTTCTGAGGCTCAATAGAGGAACTTGAGGTCTCCAGAAAAGAGACCACAGGAGCCAGAGAACGTTGTTGCCAAGCTTCTGCCTTTACTATCTGATGGAGCAGCCCCAAGCACACTCACTGCAGGTCCTCTCTGGCCCGGGGGGAAGGGTGGAATGGATGGTGTAAGCGGCCCACCTTCACGTGCTGCACTGTGGTTGTAAGTGAGCTCGAGGCAGGGGTGGCTCCCGAAGAGGTGAGGACTCTGCAATGTGTCCTGGAGCTCAAGCTCCTCACCCCGGACCGGCCTTCTTGCTTCAACTGCTACTGGCGTTTTACATTCAGGCTGAGCTGCTGGGTGCCTCTACTGTGTGTAGCACAGGAAGAGTGATACATCCCAGGAGAGTGCTCTGGGTGTGCAGCCAGGACGTGTATGTGTATATATGTGTGCGTTGTATGTGTAGATATAGGCACGCGTATATTATGTATGTGTGTATGCATGTACGTGTGTATTATGTGAGCATGTGCGTGTGCGTGTGTGTGTGTGTGTGTGTGTGTGTGTGTGTGTGTGTGTGTGTGTGTGAGATGAGGCGAGAGAAAATAAGTCCAGGCCACAAATGGCCACCAGGCCTTCAGAGCCTATTATGTTTGGTTGATTTGGGGGCTATACCTAGCAGATGCTCAGGGACTATTTCTGACTCTGTTCAGGCTCAAAAGTTACCCCTGGTGGTGCTCAGGGGACCATAGATATTGCTAGGGATTCTAACAGAGCTTGGCCACATGCAAAGCAAGCACCTGACCTTTTGTGTGACTACTTGTCTGGCCTCTAAGGCTGTCAGTTTATAATGTATGTTTTTCTCCCTGCACTTACTCCACCTTTTATTTTTCTTA